GTACAGGCAGCCAGCAGACCATTCTCCATGAGGAGCAGTAGAAGATGCCGGCTCTGCCAGCACTGCTGCTGTCAATACACTTCCTCTCCTTCCTGCTAGTCACCATGCCGCCACGCTCCCTCAGTCAGGCCCCCCTGCTCTCCTCCGTCCGTATGGGTGAGTGGTCAGCCGTCCCTTCGTCCCCACCTCACCTGGGTGAAAAAGTTTCTCAACATACTTTTTGTGTATGTGTTTTTTTTTTTTTTCCAGCCGCCTTTAGTGCCTCAAAGTGGGTTTTGCCACATTGGACAGTACAATAAGATACAGGGTGACAAGAAACCATTTTAAAGCCAAATAAGCATAAATAACAAACCTGTTGTTGTTATTTCAGTACAAACTTGTAATAAAAGTTTCCCCATTTTACTCTTCTATATTGTAAGTGATTGGCAGATAAAAGTTTCTCTCAGAGGTTGTTGTAGTATCATGATTTCATTTTTACCTTAAAACCTGCAGGTGTGCAACAACGCCTCTTAATTTTTTGGACAATACCCTGAGATGTTTAAAATATCAGTGGATCTCTGACATTTTCTGGAAGCACTAAGGATTTTTGACTGACCAAAGCAGCTCATGTTAGACAGATGTTCGACAAAAACGTAAACATAACATAATCACAACTGCAAACACTGTTACAAAACTGGGTAAAGAAGTATGTGTCTGCTGTGTAAGTAGGTATTTTGATAACTGACTGACTAACTGACTGACTGACTCCATCAAGGCGAAATCATATTAGTCCAAATACAGTCCTGATTGAAATTGTTGCCAACCATGAATTTTTAAGTAGAGAATTTAGAATGTCTTCAGAAATAAATGCAAATTAACCAATTTTGTATAATCAAAATATTTTGAAAACATGTCCAAGGTCATTGGACAAAATAAGATAAAAAAAAACAAACAAATTGCACAATATTGAAATAATACAAAATGTATTCCAAACACAATTATTATGACAGTTTCTGCTACTTGTCCCCTGCTATGCGTTGAAGTTCTTTTAATTTTGCAGGGTCCTTATTGCAATGGCAGATTTTAGCTCTCTCCAAAGGTTTTCAATGTGATTTAGGTCAGGACTTTGTTGGCCAGTTTTAAACAGTCCGTCTTTTCCTTTTCAAACATTCTTTTGTGCGGCTAGATGTGTGCTCTGGGTTGTTATCCTGCTGAAAGACCCAAGACCTTCGCCTTGTACCAAGTTTTCTGACACTGGGTAACACATTTCGCTCTAAAATGCCTTGGTAATCTTCTGATTTCATCATTTCTTTGATATAGTCCGTGCCTCCAGTAATAGAGGCAGCAGAGCAGCCCCACAGCATGATAGATTCTCCACCATGTCTTACTGTAGGTGTGGTCTTCTTTTCCTTATTGGCTCCATTTTGTCACATATAAACAAACTGATGCACTGCTTTCCCAGAGAGCTCCGCTTTGATGTCGTCTGTCCATAGAACATTATCCCAGAAAGACTGTGGCTTCTCCTCTCGGTTTAGTGTGTGGTACGGGCTGAAACCACCACTCCAGATTGCTCCAGATCAGTCTGAAGCTCTTTAGATGTCTTGTGTGTGTTTTTTTTTTTTCCCCCACAATCTGCTCCAAGCCTTCACATTGAATTTCTTCTTAGCACCACATCCTGGAAACAGTTTTATGACTGTGAAACTTCTTGATAACATTGTGAACTATTGAAACAGGGATTTCAAGATCATTGCCGATTGCCTTGGAAATGTTATGTTTTTTTGCTAAAAACATTTCTGATGCTCTCAGACAGCTCTCGTCTTTGCCATTGTGAAAAAGAAACTTGAAACAATCAGCCCCGTTTTACAACCATCAATTGTTGGTTAACTCAGGTTATGTGAACGCTGACAAATAAACACATGAGATTTATTTGATTTTTAATTTTGTTTGATGAATTAATTTGAATTCAGCAAAAAGGTGTCAATGATTCTGTCCAGCATGTTTTTTTTTTTACTTCACAATATCAAAGCATTTTGTTGTTGTTCAAGGACTTATTATACAAACTTGGTTAATTTGCATTTAATTTGCATTTATTTCTGAAGATATTCTAAATTATATATTTAAAAGGGATCCCAATAATTCCAACCAGGACTGTAATTTAATATGTCAAGGGGAACCTTCTTGAAAATCATGACAACATGGTAAATACAGATACACTGGACTGATAAAGAAAAACCACAGGTACGAGCTGAAACCAATCATACTGTGTATCATCTACCCTTGGTACAAATGTCTGCAGTGGTGATTTAGTTTCTTAAAGTTTTATTTGATCAAGTTTTTATGTATCATCAGTAAGAATGCGTCCTTCTTTAAAGGACTAGTTCACCATTTTGGGAAATATACTTATTTGGTTTCTGGTGAGGATCAATATCTCATGTCTGTACAGTATAGATGAAGTTAGAGCCAGCAGCCCATCAGTTTAGCCAGGCTAGCTGTATTGCTTCCAGTCCTTATGCTAAGCTAAGTTAATTGTCTCTTGGCTCTAGGTTCATATTTAACAGCTTCTTACTTTGCATATTTCCCAAAATGTTTAACTGTTCCTTTCATTTCTAATATAGTTTGGATTTCATACCACTTACTATGTTGAACAACATGAGTTCCTTGCATTCCTTTTCCAGTCAGTGGTTATGATTCCTCTGTCAGCTCCACTCATCTTCCCAAATACATTCCCACCCACACACGAGCACGGGCAACACTGTTAAACAATCATCCACCTCTCACTCTCGCTCCTCTCTTTTGCTTACTCCTCTCCCGTTCTTCCCGTCTCCCGGTGCCGTCCATCTTCTCTCCTCTGCTTCACCTGTCTCACTTTCCCTCTCTGCCTCTCTAGCGGCAATCCTGGACGACCAGTCTGTGTGTGGGCGTGGGGAGCGGCTGGCGCTGGCCCTGGCCAGGGAGAACATCAACAGCGTGATGGAGGGTCCGGCCCGAGCCCGAGTGGAAGTGGACATATACGAGCTGCAAAAAGACTCCCAGTACGACACTACCGACACCAGTGAGTGGAGTTGATGCACACCAGTGAAGACCAACAGAGCAGATTCACACAACCCCGCAAGAGTGATGAAATCCAGCTAAATCCATTAGAGTCCAATAGGGCATAGTGTCTAATTACCACAGACAAAAAGTGACCACTAAAAGTACCAGTAGATATTATTAGTAATATGGAATATGAATATTAATAGTGACTAGTACAGAGTAGAAAAGAACAGTAGCCTACTGAATACTGCAAATTTTAATCAAAAAAAAAAACTATATAAATACATTTTCTAAAAAGTTGCCTTTTATTAGCAAAAAACGCAAATGATGACTAGAATGACAAAACACCACCACTTTCATGTGATTAGGAACCAGTAAGAGCTTGTGCAGATTACTTAACATGTCATTGGAGACCAGTAATGGGCCACTAAGCCTGTCTCATTAAAAACAGCGGACCAGTGCCCTCCAGTAACAGCTGGAACTGGCTACTGCGCAGACAAAAACAAATCATCAAATACTAATACAGATCAGCAGTGCGGGCCAACAGAAAGCAGCACCATACCAAAGAGGCTGCTCCATTAAATTTGTATTGATATACAGACTTAAAACAGAATGTTTGGAGTCTGTAAAGACAGAAGATGTACGGCTGAATCCAGCCACAGAGGAGACACAGACTCCCTGCTCCTATTCTAATAGGTCAGTGACCCTGCCACAAGCTACTGGCAAAATGTCTCTGTGTGCTTGAGAAGGGTTGTGTACATATGTGTATGCTTGAGTTGCAGGCGTATGTGTATGTGTCTTTCTGTGTGTGTGTGTGTCCTTGACCGATGGGCAGGAGACTCTGACAGGCTTGTTTGCTTGCAGTGTTTTTTTGGTCTCTGGATCAGAGAGCTCATCATCTTACAGCTACGGCTGTCTGAAGCACGCTTGCACGCATACGCTCGCGCGCATACGCTTGCGCGCACACACCGAAGCACACACATACACACGCCCCCACACACGTGCACAGACATTTATACATGCACGCATGCACATCCTTTTCTGCAGACACACTCATACATATGGGCACAGTGTGGGCATATGCACTCACACATACTCAGGCAGGCATACGCACAGACAATGACAGGAACCGAGGAGGACTAATTGGGATGAATTAAAATACCAACCAACTCTACCAGCAAGAACAGAACTTTTTCACTATCAGAATAACACAGTCAAGTCACCAGACTCTGCTGTATCTATGACAGCATTTTTCAGGTGGGTAGACAGAAAACATTGTCAATGAAAATAAACTCAGTGCTTATCAAAGAGATGCTGTACAAAAACATTTCAATTACATTTCTCTGTAAACTAAAATATTTAGTGCCCGAGTGGAGAGCATGATCCAGCTTCGGCCTGTGATGGATACTGGTCAACAGCAGATACCACTCACATATCCGGATGCTAGATATGAAACTACAGCCTGTAGCAGGTTAGCTTAGCTTAGCGTAGAGACTAGGGGAAACAGTGAACCCGGCTCTGTCCATAAATGTAAAAAAAAAAAAATCCTCCGACCGGCCCTCTAAAGTTAATCAATTAATGCATTGTATGTTATTTGTTTAATCCGTACAAAAAAACCCCCCAAAGATGGCAGTTTACTGTTTTACTGTGTTATGTGCGAGACTATTTCTTCTGGCAACTGCTCTTTGGTTTTTGCATACATTAAACAAGCGAAATATAATGTGTTAATTAATGAGCTTTAGACAAGGTGGTAGACAGATTTTGTTACATCTGGACAGAGCCAAGCCAGCTGTTCCCTCCTGTTTCCAGTCTTTACGCTAAGGTAACCAAACTGGTTTCTAGCTGTAGCTTCATAATTATCATATAGACACGAGGCATCAGTCTTCTCGTCTAACTCTCGCCAAGAAAGCAAATAAGCATATTTCCCAAAACGTTGAAGTATTCCTTTAAGCATTTCCAAGTTTCTTTTGTCTTTGGCAGCTGGACTTGTGAGTCTCTTACGGCTGTTGATCAGTAACTAGACTATAGGCTGGTCAATTAGTCAAGTATAAGACAGACAATGAACGTAACCTTATCCGTTCCCCTTGTCTACTCAACATTGTGAAGCCATTTCAGACATTTGCAAAAAAAAAGCAAACTTCAGGCCCTCGCATGTAGAGCTTAGAAAAAAGAAAAGCATAACTTAAACTAAATAACTTAAAAATCCAGTTTTGACGTGTGACAAACAGAAACTTACAGAAATGCTCCTGTGCTGACCTAAGTGTTTCACAAAAAATGTGTGAAATTCTTCATTTAGGCTTAAATACAATATGTAAACATAATGGAGACATGGCATATATTATGCTTGAATATGTTGTATGCAGATTCTCAGAGATAGTGTTTACTCCTGCCATTCCTCAGCAAAGAAATTAGTGAGTTAATAGTCATATAATTTCATGAATAGTTAATGTAATAGACTAATGTGCAAAACTGTTTTTCCAACATCTTCCCCCTGCAAGAAGGGTAATCATGCAAAAAAGGTGACAACCAATTTGCCAGCATTGTTCTGATGCCAGAGATATAATTAAAGCGAAATGTCTTAAAGATTATTAAAATCATTAAAAATGACTGTCTTAACAAGTGAACGATAGCAGAAGGCAACCTGTGGGCTGCCCTGCTGTGGTCCTTGGAGTATTTATCTCAAAATAAATCAGATTATAATTAGATGCATCCTGCTTCTACAATAGAATGAGGGGTTCAACTGAAATCGTAATGTGTCCTCTGAGTTTTTGCTGCATTTTAAATTTCCACTTTTCCCCTGACTGCAGCCCTTACTGCTTGCCAGCTCAGTGCTGCCGTCAAAATGAAGCGGAGGGAAGTTGTGTGTGTGTGTGTGTGTGTGTGTGTGTGTGTGTGTGTGTGTGTGTGTCTGTGTCTGCATATTCAGTGTTTATTTTTCCTTTTTCCTTTCAGTGTGTCAGATTCTACCCAAAGGCGTCGTCTCTGTGATAGGTCCCGCCTCCAGCCCCGCCTCTGGTTCTACTGTCAGTCACATATGTGGAGAGAAGGAGGTGAGTGTGGAAGATAAACACACAAATAGGTACAAATCTGTGCACATCTAGCTCCCTCTCTCTGACTTACTACCCTTCCTACCCACACAGTTGTCATGATGAATGTATCTAGAGATTTGGTTTTCCTTGCCTATTGAGTTTCTTCCCATATAATTAACTACCATCCACTTCTTCCAACAGTTTTCTCCTTTCTTTCCATAGCCTTTTATCCTTAAGTCTTTCTGTTCTCTGCATCTGCCTGCTTTCTTATCTCTCTTTTCACCCTCTAGCCTCTCTAATGGATTTCCTTATTCACTGTTTTTTTTCTGTCGTGTGTGTGTGTGTGTTTGGAGAGGACTTAATCACGACACATTTTTTTTTTCTTGCCTTCCTTAATGTTTCTCCTCTCCCCTCTCCTTTTTTTTTTTTTTTTACAGATCCCTCATGTGAAGATTGGTCCTGAGGAAACTCCACGCTTGCCGTACCTGCGCTTTGCCTCTGTCACTCTGTACCCTAGCAACGAGGACCTGAGCCTGGCCATAGGAGCCATCTTGCGCTCGTTCAGTTACCCCTCAGCCAGCCTGGTCTGTGCCAAGGCTGAGTGTGAGTACACCTTGTATACTTATTGACAAAGTTATGTGTGACCCTGTGGCTATGTTTGTGTTTAGGTGGGTGTAAATGCATCAGTTGTGTTCTTCTGAACTTTTTTACCTACTGTATGCGTGTGTTTATGTGTACGAATGCCTCTGTGGGGGAGTGTTGGCACATTCACACTGTTTGGGCGGACATGACTGTTTCGTGCTGTTGGACACTCATTTTGACAGTCTGGCCATAAAGTTCTGTCTGTTGTCAGAGTTCAGAACATGGCTCACACTATAGCCTTCCTATTTATTACTCATCCTCTCGCACACAGTCTCTTATCCACCTCAGAGGGTTGTTAGCCCGAACCAATTTGATAAATATTTGTGTTTGAAATGCTTTCCAGTATTGGAAGAACTAAGAGGACATTTGATTTAACTTGCCTGGCACTCGGAGAACTTTAACATCACAGGGGATTCGGGGCTTAGTCACTAGCCCTCTTTATTTTCATTTTGAAAGAGTGTGTTATTGATTTATTATGTACTCCCCTATTGAGAGTCACAGGAATTAAAGGGCTTGGTGGGATGGTGGCTGTAGTATTCAAACAGGGCTTTGTGAATATATGACAGTATACACTACGTGCTGTAAGAGGTGGTAGAAATCGTCATTTATCCACTGAGTGACGTCCAGACTTTCTGTCCCGTCCTGAATGAAACTGAGCAGGGATGAGTTGTTGTTCAGCTGTTGACTGCTCACACCAGTCAAGTTGAACCGCACAAGAACTGAAGGGCAATTACGTAAAGAATAAGAGCGACCATTGAAGTCTGAACACTTCTCATGGCCGTGTGAAAAGGGTAGATTTTGACAAACAAAAAGCTGTGACATTATGAAAAATTGATTCAATCACGGCGGTCCTTTTATTATCTCTCCAGCAGTTAGCCAGCCGTCCCGCGGTTTCCTGAAAGTAAGCTGAATTCCTTGTGGACTTGTCATTTCATTGAACTAAAAGAGCTTTGAAATGGCATCAGACATCTTTTTCCACTTTTGATCATCAGTTGAATGGGTAGATAAGAGCCTTGTCTTTCACCAAGCTTTTCCTCCCATAAGAATAGGAGGCAACAGATAGCCTGATGGTTACCGTCCGGGCCAAGAGATGCAGCTTCTCCTGGTGGAGTGACGGAGGGGTGCGTGTGTGTGTAGTATATTTGGCTTGAAGGTGATCTTTACAAGGTTATCACACTCACAGACTCTGACCCACTTGGCTGCGCTATCTATCGCCATGGAGCTGGTTGCCATGGCTGCAGAATAGGTGCTAACTGCCACTCAACAGGCTTGTTCCACACTCTGAATGACTGTGTGTGTGTGTGTGTGTGTGATATTTTATTTTTCTGTGTGCTTAGTTCACTTTGTCCGTACATGTGCATGTGCTTGAGTGCTAGTTTATGTGTGAACGAGTGTGTGTGTGTGTGTGTGTGTGTATTGCTGCCTCAGAGTGTACTGAATGTCTATACGTGTGAGTGGGTTTTCGGGTGCTTGTAGGCTTGTGTGTCTGTGTGTGCGGCTCTACAGAGGTTCAACATCAGACAATGTTTACCACCAGCTCACTTGTTTTATTCATCTTGTTTACCCCAGTGTAGAGTGGTGCGTTCAAGTGAAGTAGACATTCTCTCTTTTTTGTCAGCGAGGCGAGTAATGTGTGAAGTCACACATTTCATTGACACCACCACCATGTACGCATCCTAATTAAGTAACGAATTTAGCAACTGGTCATTTTTGCAACAGCCTGTTAATGGGATTAATCAAATGTTTTCCCTCTTTTAGCTTGTGCAAGTAGCAGTCCATAGATATTCTGTTAAATGAGAGTGAGTCAGAGATTTTGGGTCACTTCCGACGTATCCTCCTCTCGCTACGGCTGGGTCACAACGCGCTATCTGAGCCTAATTCCATTATGCAGTTTTCATGAGATGGATGAGGTTAAGGACAGCGAGAGGGAGAGACTGAGCACAAGGAGGAGGAGACAGTGGGCGGCGTAAGAGCGAGATGGATAAAGACAGAGAGAGGTAACTGGAGCACAGGGCTAAGACGAGAGAGATAGAGAGGTTAGAGCTTATGTTTGAGAGAGAGAATATGTGAAAGGAGAGTGAGAGAGGGGAGGAGAGGAAGCTGTAAAGTGCATTGATTTTTTTTCTCCCCTCCTTCCTCAAACTAATTAAAGTTTTGGCCTGGTTCAGTGATTACCCCACTGCTTACAGAGGCTTTCTCCTGCTGAAGGGCTCTGTGCACTACCTCTCCCTTCCTCCTCTCTTCCCCACTCCCCTTCCCCGCCGTCCCCCAGATGCCTGCCCCACCACTTATTTACATAGCTAGGGGAGCTTTACTATGGAATTACAATTAGGAAGCAGCAGGGTAGACTTTCTAGTAAAGACTCATTCCACGCACAGTGTCAAGTGAGTCTTGACTGCCATTGGTTATACTCATTTTCGAGAGGAATTCGCTTGAAGTGGGCGAATTGTCTCAAGTACTGTATTTCACTCTTTCTGCTCCTGCAGTTGTGCTCCTCTCTGTCCATCATCTTTTTTTTTTTTTTTTTTTACCAGAGGTTAGCAGAATTCCTGCATTTCCAATTTTGTTATTTAATTGTTTTTAGTTTTTTGAACACATACTATTTCACTCACAGCACACACGTCACTCAACGACCTGAAAAGCAATCATTGAGGGATAAGACAACACACACAAAGTGAATTACAACACACTCAAAGAGCACATAGCTTTGCCAAGGCTGCACAGCACTCTAAACCTATTATTCTGTTAATAGAAAATGTTTAGAAATTTGTCTTGCTGATGGAGACCATGAATTTTGTAGCATACCTAAAACCTGTCTGAGGATATTAGGGCTGTGTACGAAGATGAATTTCAATTGAATCCGACTCACAAGCACTTATGTTATGAGTTATGTTGATCGAGTTATATTTTGTCATGTTAATGTAGCCTCAGTCTGACACGCCATATAAGACACAAAATTAATATTCAAAGCAGAGTATTTTTACAAGGAGGTGGGTATCTTTAAAACATTTTTTGGCTCATCCAAATATTTTATGTACCAAAGTTGGTTAAGGTTGGATGAAATTTTTAGGAGTAACATTAAAGAGGAAAAATAAGTGAAACGATGTGTACGATTATAAAATCTAATGACAGACACTCAGGCGGATAGCTAAAAAAAGCTTTAATACATATGGGCTTAACTCATATTAAAAATATACCAAAGAGTATCTGTGCTCTTTCTTTCCTCAGGGTGTTTGTCGGAGGAATGTTGAAAAATATGTTTAAAATGTATCTGTGTGTAATCAGATGTGGCCTGAAAGTAAAACTCAAATTAAATCAGGAGGAAAATATTTTGTCTCCATACTCCACAGTTCAGGTGTTATGGTCAAACAGTAAAGTGCTGTAAAAATGACCACATGGTGGCGCTACCTACATTAAAACTAATGACTTCCCTGGCCCGAAGCCTAACTCTTCTTCAAATTACACAATCTGTCAAGTAGATTATAAAGAGAAGACTGAATACAAAACCTCCTTGGCAGAGGTCATAAGAGATAAAAATAAGTCCCACTGAAAAAAGCAGTGAATGCAGACATATTGTAGCCTCCATATTAAATGATGTTTAATTTCCTGGAGATTCAGACGAACCATCAATCATGCAAATGACACAAATACGTGGCCATCCAAGGATAAATCAAGATTTTCGCAGGTCCTGCTAAGCTTACACCTAGGAAATATGAGTTATGTCTACTGATAAAGACATTGATATGCAATCCGACTCTGCTGTGGCTCTGCCTCAGGCCTGCTGAGATTGGAGGAGCTGGTCCGCCGCTTTCTCATCTCCCGGGAGACGCTGTCAATCAGGATGCTGGATGACAACCTGGACCCTACGCCGCTGCTGAAGGAGATCCGTGACGACAAAGTGGCCACCATCATCATCGACGCCAATGCTTCTGTCTCCTATCTCATCCTTAAAAAGGTCAGGTCTCAAGGATCAATTCATTCTTCAGAGCCGCCCACACATGTGCAGGATTTGAAGTTACTCTAGTATATAGCACATGCAGTAATACTCAAGGGGATAGTTTTTCTCTTTTATATATCCATATGGGAAATTCAGGTTACAGTCATCAAGGGCATGCAGAATTTACCATCTGTAAAATAATAAGGCAACTCTCTTGAAGTTCCACAGGCTACACGTTTGTTGTTGTAACAGAATTAACATCTATTTTTACCTTCCCTGTCCTCCGGAGCAGCAGACTGAACAATATTTCTGCGTATCTGCCAGCAACAATCACTTACACTCTTAAGAAAGTATTTGACAAAAGAACATCTTTTGCTGGGATGCGGTGCAGATGTTACCCAGGCTTGTTCTGATTCATGGTACGGCCTGTAATGCCGATAGCCAGCCCAGTGAGTCACAGTTTGAATGCGTATGGGATGTTTTCACTGGGCGCACATCTGCCCTCAGCGAAATGTCCTAGTGTTCGCCTGATGATGTAAAACTGTGATTAACGTATGCTCCCTCTCCCTCCCCCACATTCTCTCCTACACTTTGTCCCCCAACTGTCTCCTTTGCTCTCTGCCTCTCAATAACTCTCCTCCTTTGCCCTCACTATCTCTCCCCCCTATCAATCTTTCTCCATCTTCCCTTATTCTCTCCACATTCTGTGTCCCACCTGCCTCGTCTTTACTTTTTCATCCTATTCTCTCTTTCTCTTTGTCCTACAGGCATCGGAGCTGGGGATGACATCAGCATTTTACAAGTACATCCTCACCACCATGGTAAGAGCGTACCAGTTCTTCCCCTTCCTGTCTTCTGTCTTCTTTTCCTCCGTGTTCACTTTCCCCCCCTGCCCTGCACCTCCTCCTCTTCTGTCCCTTTATGAGCGAGCAAAGGTGCTAAGGCGGAGAAAGTATTCGATAAAGGGAGAAGAGAGAGGTGACGGAGAGAGAATAAAGGGAGAGGAGATGAAGGATGGGGAGAGGGAAGGAGAGAGAGAGAGAGAGGGGGAGAGATCTGAGAAACGAACATACTGTACAGAGATGTGGAAGTGCAGAGGAGGATGGCAAAAAAGAAAAAAAAAAACAGAAGAAAAAGAGGTCTGAGGTGAAGGTGATGACAGACGTGATGTGCCCTTTTTCTTCTGCCACCCGCCACCTCCTCTACGCTTCCGGTGTTTTCATCTGCCTCTTTGATATACTCCCCTCCCTTTCTACCATTTGAATTAATGTGTCACTTTATGCTGTGTGCCTGATTTTTATTTTATTTTTTTCTCCCCTCTCCGCCCTCTGTGCGTGATGTTCTCTTGTGCTTTAGATGCTAGTGTATGTGCGTATCTCTGTGAAAAGCTACTGGAGTCATTTCCATCAACCTATCTTTGCCCTGTATGACTATTTTTCCCTTTTCCGAGCTGTCCATATCCTTTTTTTTCTCTCTCCATCACAGATTAGCTGCTGTCACTCCCCATAACCTCTCTTTTTCTTCATCACACTCGTCTTTGCACAGTATTTTTCTTCTGAGCTGAGATTTGATTCACTGTCAACATTGTCACTCACCTGAATTTTCTGTCTCTCTCTGCAAACATCTTCGCCTCTTCTTCTTCTTCTTCTTCTTCTTCTTCTTCTTCTTCTTCTTCTTCTTCTTCTTCTTCTTCTTTGTTTTCTCCTTCGTTTTCTTCTCCTTTTTCTCCTTCTGTAGGACTTCCCCCTCCTGAGACTGGATGATATAGTGGATGAGCAGTCCAATATCGTGGGATTCTCCATGTTTAACACTACGCATCCCTTCTACTTGGAGTTCATCAGGAGCCTCAACCTCTCTTGGAGGGAGGGCTGTGACCTGACATACCCCGGCCCTGCGGTCAGTCTCTTGGACACATGAGTACTCATGCATGCACGCATTCAGGAGTAATTTTTACAGCTTTGTTTGCATGCCACGAAACATTAAGCTACTTTATTCCTCACGCTGATTCATGGAGCAGTTAAAGAGATTCAGCTAGTCTTTTGCTTGTATTTAATGGGTATTGATGTATCCATCTGTGTTTCCTCCCCACTGGTTTACTCATACCTCACATCTATTCTCTCTTCCCTCTAATTTTCCCTGCCTTCCCCCATCCCTGTTAACCATTTAATCATTTGTGCTTGTGCCTCTCTCTTTCCTCATTGCATCTTCTCCCTTGACTCCTCGTCGGTTTTACCTATGTTTCCATCCCCCCTGTTTTCTGCCTTTACCCACTTCCATATCTCTCGTGTTTCCTCTCCCTCCTCCCACAGCTCTCGTCAGCACTGATGTTTGATGCGGTGCATGTGGTGGTGGGGGCGGTGAGGGAATTGAACCGCAGTCAGGAAATAGGAGTGAAGCCGCTCAGCTGCACCTCGCCTCAGATCTGGCAACACGGGACCAGTCTTATGAACTACCTGCGCATGGTAAACGTTTGCTAAATCTGCATGTGTGCAATCACCTCCTTTATATGAATGGTCATTCACACGGACACGCACATGCATACATCATGAGGAATATGGGTGAAATATGAGCTCAACTTAATTTCTATTTCTTTAAATGTCCGCACAGGCAGAATACGCAGTGACTTGTAACTGTGACTCCATGTGTTCTCATGAAAATCAAGATGTTGCTTTTTTTTATACTATAGAAATACAACTAACAATTATTTTCATTACTGATTTCATTAAACTCCTGGTTATTTTTCAGAGAATCTATGTCTAAAAATTGTGAAAAATACTTGATGACATCTTCAAATTAGATCTGAAGCAATTACTCGATTAATGGATAATCGATTAACAGAAAATAACCACTATTTTTGGTAATCAAGTAATCATTTGTCGGTTCCAGCCTCTAGAATATAGACAAGACATAGACAAAATAATAATTGCTTAATCAAACAGAAATTTTTAGCCTTACTGAAAATGATCTGTCTTGTCTGACTAACAGCCAAAATATTTTCAATTTATAATCATAAAGGCTGAAATTCTCAAACAGTTGTCACAAATCAGAATTGTTGTTGATTAGTTTTCCTTCACTTGATTTATTGCTTAATTAAGACAGTTGCATTCTGTATCATCCTCATCTCATGTTGCATGTAACCTCTGTCTCTTGTTGTTCTATGTCATCTTCCATCTCTGGTCGTCTGTGTGTTTCTCTCATCGACGACCTGTTGTCAAGGCAGCCCAAGCCCCATCTCTCATTGCCTCCGCCCCCACCGGCCCGACATCTGTCTTTGTTAGTCAACATCATGGTGTGCTCCATCTTCAGCACCGTGCTATTCATCATAGATCTCGCTAACTGTGCCAGCACCTGGGGTTTGGAGAGGCCGAGCCGAGCTGTGAGGTGCAGGTCTGAGTCTTATTAGGGAGCTGTTGACACTCTCTGCTGCTCTATCTGAGCCTCTCACTCAGTCACTCTCTCCCAGTTGATCTGAAACTGATCATCCCTGTCTGGTCCAACCTCAGACACTTCCTCTGTCTCTCCTCCTCTTTCTCTCTCTTTGTCTTTTACTCTCTCTTTCTTCCTAATCACTGTTGATAGTATCTGTTTGAAGAAGAAGAATATTTTGTCTCACATAGAAGATTGCCTGTATTTATTTCTCCTACTCTCCTCATTGTTCCTTCCTGTTCTCTTCTTTTCCCTCCCTCTCTCATACTTCCTCACCTCACTCTGTCTGTCTGCCAGGTGGAGTACGACGGTCTGACAGGGCGTGTGGAGTTCAACAGCAAAGGTCAAAGGACCAACTACACCCTGCGGATCCTGGAGAAACACCGAGGAGGTCACAAAGAGGTCAGGAGTCATCTGTTATCATGCAGCAGCCAGGTCACGTCACCCACAGGCTTTGGGGTAGTTATAGGTCACCTGTCTGATTTTACAATGCCAGGGGAGGCGTTTAACACTGAGGTCAGCCTCATCACAGACTCCCCTGATAGTAGCCAAATATCTTTACTTTGTGACGTTGGTTTGATGTGTTTCACCTGACGACACAGGAGTGTAACCTGCAATCTGATGTGGGTCATGTAGTAGCTGCAAATATATGTTAACATTTGTGTTATCTAAAGGTTACTAGAATACATTGACTGCCTGCATAGTCCATCAATAGAATTTTAAATGCTAAGCTTTGGGCTGTAGTATTGATTGTTGTATTGTGTGGCCCTGACTCTTTTTTTTTTGTTGTTTGGCCAGGGCCTTGTTTTTTCAGCCACAGCTGGATGTTGACTTAATGTGTTCTGATCTGAAAAATAACATTTCATTTATGTTTGATTTATTGTCTTTTCATGGCTACAAATAGTGACATCAATTTGTAGAAATCAGTCTTTGTAACTGGCTCAGTACATGTAGACCCTACAGTGCATATCTGTTCGTCCTATAGTAATAATTACATGGCGTCTTTATAGAGTTTATTTTATCTTTGTCTCGTATAAGGCTGGATTTGCCCCAGGCTTGGTTTTGATTTGTATTTGGAATTGGTCTTCACTTGTACGCAGCAAGATATTTCTCTCAGTATGCCTGCTCCTTTTTAGCAATGCCCTGCAGTTTCTCCATATTTTTATTGTACATATTTAGACTTGAGTCTGAGGAGTAAGCCCCAGTCTAACAATCACTTGGGTTTGAATTGCGTTTAAGGCTGGGAAATAAATCAATGTCGTATACCGCCTTTTATTGTATTTGTATTGTGATAATATTTTTGATCACAATAAAATTAATTTTTTTATTTTTCATATCATGTTGTTGTTTTACAAAATCCTGTATTTGGATTGTTACAACAAAACCATAATTTAAAAATAGCCAGTTCAAAGTCAGCCTACTTAACGTGTGCTGCACAACAGCTGCTGTGGCTTTAAAGTTACAATTACAGAATACATGTATTTGTAAATGCTAAAACAACACTCACTGAGCTCAATCAGGAACACCATACCAATACTCCCTTTGCTCTTTGTGGCATGGATCCCACAAGATGTTGGAAACTTCCCTTTGATATTCTGCTCTACGTTGACTGCATCACATCATTTATGCAGATTTGTCAGCTGCACATTCATGCTGCCAATCTCCTGTTCTACCACATCCCCAAGGTGTTAAGATCTGGTGACTGGGGAGGCCACTGAAGTCATCTCATTGTCATGTTCATGAGACCAGTCTGACATGGCTTTTGCTTTGTGACATGGCACACTGTCATGCAGAAAGTAGCCATTAGAAGACGGTTAATTGTGGCCATTAAGGGCTGCACATGGTCGGCAACAATACTCTGATACGCTGTGGTGTTCAAATGATGATTGATTGGTGTTAAGGGGCCCAAAGTGTGCCAAGAAAACATTCCCCACACCATTACACCACCACCGCCACCAGCCTGGACTGTTGACACAAGGCAGGTTGGATCTGTGTATTCATGCTGTTGATGCCAAATTCTGACCCTACCATCTGCTGCTTCAGCAGAAACCCAGATTCACTGGACCAGGCTACTTTTTCCAGTCTTCAACTGTCAAGTTATGGTTGTGATTTCTGTTCTTGGCTGACAGGAGTGGAACCTGGCATGGTCCTCTGCTGTTGTAGCTCATCCACCTCAAGGTTTAACGTTTTGTTCACTCTCTTCTCTGCTCACCACAGTTGTAAAGATCGGTTATCTGAGTTACCATAGCCCTTCTGTCAACTCCAATCAGTCTGGCCATTCTCCTCTGATCTCTCTTATCAACAAGGAGTTTCCATCTGCAGAACTGTCACTCACTGGACGTTTTCTGTCTTTCGCACAAGTCTGAGTAAAGACACTCCAGAGACATTATGTGTGTCAAAATCTCAGGAGATCAGCAGTTTCAGAAACACTCAGACCAGCCCGTCTGGGACCAACAATCATGCCATGGTTAAAGTCACTGAGATCACATGTTGTGATGTTTGATGTGAACATTAGCGGAGGCCCCTGACCTGTATCAGCATGATTTTATGCAGTGCATTGCTTCTTACGTGATTGGCTGATTGTATAATGGTCATAAACTCAAGTCATAAACTCACTAAGTAATGTCAGTTACACAGCAATATCTTTTTTGAAGTTTGATTACATTACTTAGCATTAGCCATCATAAGCTATTGGTCATACCAGACCAAATACGTCTGTAACAGCGAGGGTATTGAATTGAGCAACTGTTTTCTTCATTGCTTAAGACATTATTTTGTTCAAATAATCATATGTAATTTCTGGCTTCGGGAATTGTACCTCCCTTCTTCAAAGTTTTCGTTCAACACATAAATTCCCTTTCATTCATTCTCCTGGACCAGATCTTTCCTGTTAGTCTCTGTGTTTATTTTTTTGATCTACCAGTTATAAGCCACAACACATTTGTAAAGGGTAGTTGGACAACGTGTTGAACCAAAATAAGATATTGGCAGACCCAGCCAACGAGGTGTTTAGCACCATTTTGGTGCATTATTCTGTCATTGAAGGCCCCTCCAATGAGCATTAGATGGAAAGGTGAGGGAAGAGAGGGATCAAATACATTTCCCCTGCATTTCAGGATTAAATGAAGCATAAGTACACACATCACTGCAGATCCAGACTGAGGGACTGTGTGTGCGGTTCATTGACTGAAAGAAACACTGTCTCTTCACCTCCTTCCCTTAATGTCTTCTTGGGCTCTAATACAGGCCATCTGCATCCTATGTTAACACTAAATGCCACCTGATAACCACAGTTAAATCTAAACTTTATCTCAGTGTGAGAATTACATTGTGATAATTAACATTTTAACTCTTTCCACCTGTCTGTACAGCAGCACCCACTCTCTCACAGAAAAAAAAGCCCACTCTTAAATGTCAGGCCAGGATAAAGAGTGTCATAGAAAAACTGTGATTCTGTCTGAGGAGTCGTTACCTCTCCTCTGACCTATTGAAAGATGTACAGTAATATCTTCCAAGGAAATGCCTCTGCAAGCTGCGGTTCCACCTATGCACACTACTTAGGTCATAATCACACATTTATATACCTAAGTGACTTTACTGTCTCCATAAAATAGAAATATGTGAGTTGTTTTTTGTGCAATTTAAGAAAGGTGTAAGCAAAGGAAAATAGACATGGCAATGAAGCTCCTTATCATGAATGCTTTTCATTACCGTTTTTGCAATCTTGTCACAGCTCATTGCTCTGCTTGTAAACATCAGTTTTTTTTTTTTTTTTTTTTTTTTACAGTGGTGCATGGTGCTGCAGGTTCATCTATGGCTCCAATGGGAACAATTAAATCAATCAATGTGTTTATACAGTATGTAACAATATGGATGCTAAAGCAAAGCATAAAATATTAAACATGCAAAGGCACTCTATAAAATGGATCAATAGGGTTAATGTACTCACTGCAATGCTTTTTTTCTATAGATGGTGTTCAGCCTGCTGCAACAGTAAAACAGTTGCAGTGAAGTTGAAGCTTAACAGTACATTATTTATCCCACAATAGCCATTGATTTTCTCTCACTTTCTCTTCTCTGCTAGATCGGGATCTGGTACTCCAACAACACCCTGATAATGAATTCCACCAGTCTGGATATTAATGTCTCAGAGACGCTGGCAAACAAGACCCTCATTGTCACCACCATACTGGTAAGGTCGCACCTCCTTTTTGGACTGCCAAGCGAGTGAGGTCAGAGTTGTTTTTGTGTTGCTGTGGAGCCTGTGCCGCAGCTCATGCTGTGTTGTGATCTGTTTCTGCTAATTCTGCTGTCACTGTAGCTGTCATAGAAACTGACAGAGCACTGAAAGAGACGTGTTACTAAATTCAAACTGGCAAAATCCTGGTCCTCTGATAATGTCAAAATATGGGAAGTTGTCTCCTTCTGGTTTCCATATGAGTAATGTCATCTCAGAAAATCAACAAATCTCTTGCGTGATGCTGCTCCATCATCTTCAGGTTGAATCGGATGTGTAAAAACAACCTGATCCAGTAAATCCCATGCACCACAATATGCTATAATATATCATCACATTGACAATCATTTTTACAAGATGGCAAATATCTTAAATAGGATAATCCTGTAGAACATTAACTAGTACAAAATGGTAGAACAAAAGAGTTTTCTGTTGTGGCAAGCATATATGTACATATTTTGCATTAACCAAGCTGTTTTGCCACCTTTTCCCGAGATAGGTTTACCCTTGATTGTGCAGTGGGGGATTTCTAGACATATGAATCTAGCTTTGTGAAGACATTCTTCCTTTGGCCCAATATATTTGGTGCACTCAGTGAAGAAGATTAAAGTCAGAACAGAGCCTGTCTTCTCTTCGTACCCAGGTCTATTTCAGTGGCCAGACTGTGGTCACTGAGTCTTTTTTGCTCTTATCTACTTCTGCATTTTGCACCAGCCATTTTATGTCTTTTAAAGGAGCACTTCAGCAGTAGTACTGGACATCCATAACACCAGGGGTGTCTCACAAGAGGCAGATTACATAAACGCTCTAAATTGATTCTGCCAAGGCCAAGATATCCTATATTATGTTGGTCAAGATCCAAAAAAGCCGAATTGTATGACTCCCATGATGCATCTCTGTATCGTCATTTTGTTACTGTCTCACTGCCATATCTTTAAAACTCAATGTTACCAGTTTACAAACTTTCCAGCACAACTGTTAACTGACTGACCAGTACACACACCATGACTAGATGTCACTCCCTCCAGGAAATACACAACACTGTAGTTCTTTTGGATTTACTTGTTTTAATTCAGTCAGCATAACCGTCATCAACTCCGCCGTCGAACTGTTCAAATACATGACAATATCCATAGTAAGCACAAATTTCCTATCACACACAGAAACCTAACCATGAACGACGAAAATAAACGCACCTTGCAGGCTGCACACAACCAAGAGCGTATGAGTCCACTTGATCAAACATAATATTAAACGCTTAAGCAGCAACAACTAAATGTGTCCCTGCGCAACATAGAGTGTAAATGTACTATTTCATTCCTGCGTAGTGTGAATACAAAACAAGTCGATTTTCCTGAAAATAAATCATATAAATAGTATATGTAAGAAAGTGGTTGCAGCACCTTCTCAGATTTTGTTCAGAGTTTGTCTATACAATGTTTGATTCCCAAAATGAAGGCCTTTGACATGTTCCGATGTTTTCTATTTTATTTTTAAATTCTCCGAAAAACGCCTTATCTGGGAAGCCATGTTTAGGCATTAATGTCTTGAAATTTGTTAGTCTTCGCATCAACAAACTTTGTAGGATGGAAGACTATCATGTTTTCTGTACGTAGAAACCATTACAACATTACAACCCTGTACTGCAGAGCATTTTATTTGTATAAGGCCCTAGATATGGAAGAAAGTGCAAAATCTCTAATTGAGAGTGACCACTCTCCCACTAATGGACATTCAGATATTAAGAATAAAGCAAGGCATGGTAGCCTTTTACGGTCATTGTCATTGGTCCAAAATGGTGTGTGGGGTAGTGAGTAGGAACATAAAAATATACATGGAAACAGCTTAATGTGTGGTCATTTAGTGTACAAAGTGTCCTACCATGTTCCCTTCACAGATAAATACACATAGTTAAAGACATTGTTTTACCTCTAGGAAAAAAAACCAAGAAGTGTGGGCTCTCCTTATTATCTCTACTTATGTGTGTCTCAGCCTCTAAAATATTGATTAGAGTAAAGAAATAAAAGTTTTCTGTGGGCTCATTTTATTATAGGTCATTAATGCAAGCTATATTCTTTACTATCAGGGCCTCATTACAGAAAAAGGCATTAACCCTGATAGATGCTGTATTCAGTGGAGTGGTTACATTTTATATTCCATATTTAAAAATAAAGAAAAAACGAACCTCAACTTTATTGAAAATGATATGCAAAGTAGCAAATTGTGTACTAGAGATTACACAATGAAAACAATTATCTTTTAACAATATAACTTGAACAACAGGACTGCATTGGGTACATTCCTGGTGTTTTCTTGATAACATGTAAGGGCATATACTGTTGATTTCACTGTGTGGACATGTTTTAACATGTGTATCAGTACAATTTATATATATATATATATATATATATATATAGGTATTCTAACATGCACACTGTAAAATTACATGTATAAACACATCCAACCTTTTATGTGCAAACACACAGATACTCCCACTGGAGCTTGAGGGGGCCATTTCGGATACCCCTTATTCCTCCTTATACCAGATTTTATCAAAATATTTCCCTATATTCAGAAACTGTGCCTTAAAAATAGCCACTAGAACATCCGTAATTTTGTGATGTCACAACTATATAGTCTGTGCACAGCCCTCAGCCATGCCCTGAGCATGGCCCACCCGAACACACCGTCAAACCTTTTCTCTGCAATCAGAGATACAAAATGCACTGTTCTTGCTAGAGCTCGAGAGAGAAGCATGAGAGAGAAGATGGGGAAACTATATTGAGATGTGTAAAATATAGGATCTTTTTAAATTTCTGTTAATTATCTGTGCTTGAACTAAATATTCATAGTTTTGGATTGAGTCTCCTTATGTGTCCCCCATGTTCAGGAGAACCCATATGTGATGCGTAAGGACAACTACCAGGAATTCCAGGGTAACGACCAGTATGAGGGCTTCTGCGTCGACATGCTTAGGGAGCTGGCAGACATCTTGAAATTCTCCTTCAAAATCAAGCTGGTGGATGATGGGCTGTATGGGGCTCCAGAGCCCAACGGCTCTTGGACTGGCATGGTTGGAGAGCTAATCAACAGGGTGAGTATTTTCCATCTCCCTGTCTCTCCATCTCTCTGTCTCTCTGTCTCACACACATACCAGAAACAGAGAAATATTCTCAAATTTTCTAACCAGTGTCTCTACAAACAGAAACTTAAACCACACACACACACACACACACACACACACATACATACACACACACACACACACACACTGATGTACGTAGAAAACCCACCCACACACACACACATTTGCGCTGTAGCCCCAAACCACAACTCTGCTGTAACTTCCCATGTTTCAAATTGCCCTCAGAGGGGACTAAGACTCTTATCTAGGACAAAAGCTGACTTGATAATTCCCCAAAAGAGAGTGGTAGCATTGCCTAAAATTGTCTGCACCATCTTTCCTCACAGTAAACCATCCCTATCCCAGCCTGTCCCCCCTCTTCCTCCCCATGTCCAGGCCTATTGCGCCTCTGACAGACACTCTGGTTGAAGCAGGCTAATGAGAGTCCCTCTCTGCTTAATTACCATACGGTACACTTCAATTACCAGACTGTGGTCCCTGTGTGGGGCTAGCCACACTGGTGCTCCCCCAGCTTTCCACGCTTTCTCTCCCTCCCTGCCCTCCCCACTGCATGATCACTCAGCTCTAATTAGTGGCCCATGTTCGTCAATTAGCTTTTAATGGAAGAGATGGAGGGGAGGCAGAGCGACCAGAGACCTGCAAGGTTTTATACAGGTGGAAAGACCATCCACCCAGTGCTTACTTGCAATTAGCCTCATTTGGACGTGAATAATGTGTGTGTACCAGAGGGAAAGAGACAGAGTACACGTCTGTATGTGCATAGTCAAACTTTTCATGTTTCATTCGGTAAAACAATTTTTTTTTTTTTTACAAACAGAACTGTTATGTACCCAATGCAGCATCAAGAGTCCTGACCACTGGTGGTTCTTCTCCAATACCTCTGTCTTTCTCTTTGCCCCCTCCATTATCTATCCATCTGCCTTCCTATCTTTGTCAATCTTACAGAAAGCAGACCTGGCCGTGGCGGGCTTCACCATCACATCGGAGAGAGAGAAAGTTATCGACTTCTCTAAGCCGTTCATGACCCTGGGGATCAGCATCTTGTACAGAGTTCAGCTGGTGAGGCTGTTATCTAGGGCTGTAGGGTGCCCGCTGGGTGATACTCACTACAGATCTTGTATTGGATTTAATTTTCTTTTGTTTGGACTGCTTTTAACACGGCCCTACAGAAGAACGATAGGCTACACTTGTTAGATGAAGCTTAAGGAATCAGACTGCTTACTGCATAAGAGTTGATCTCATCTTTTGAAGCTGAGGATTGTTCTTGTGTAGTCTGCTGCATGCTGCATTCACTGTGTCCACTGTGAAATTTATAGGTGTAATTTAAATTTCTCAATAAGTCAGTGCTCTGTAACTGGGTAACTGTGGCAGCTTTACATTGCTAATGAGGTTTTGGGTCTAAGCCAAGTATGCTTCAGCATTAGGCATTGTGAAACAGAGCGTTTATGGATTGTAGCATTAGCGTATCAAAGCACTGCAGACTTATAGTGATTGTGCAGTGAAAGACACTGCCCTCCTGTGGTGCAAAAGGGACATTTACTGACTACTAAGACATGACACTTTTTTCTAACACAGTGTACCTTCCTTTCTGTCTGTCACTGTCTGTCTCTGTTTCTTTATCGTCCTACTCCTTCTCTTCTTTTTCTTTGCACCAGGGTCGGAAGCCAGGTTACTTCTCCTTTCTCGATCCCTTCTCTCCAGCTGTCTGGCTCTTCATGCTGCTCGCCTACCTGGCTGTCAGCTGTGTGCTCTTCCTGGCTGCAAGGTCAATACATTACATCACACACTGTACTGATAATCTGCAGCTCACATCTGTGCTCTATCACCATTTATCTTGTTAAACACGGGTTGCCTGTCACATATCGGAATTTTTTACCTTATACGACCTCCCGCAGACAGTTTGACAGGGAATCGAATGACTGATTGATGGTGACTTGAATGATATGACAGAAGTACATTACTATACTTTAGTTTGACCTCAAGGTCGTTCCACTGTACCCTTGTTTTCCCACCAGGCTGAGCCCCTACGAGTGGTACAACCCTCACCCGTGTCTGCGAGAGCGCAGGGACATGCTGGAGAACCAGTACACCCTGGGAAACAGCCTGTGGTTCCCTGTTGGAGGCTTCATGCAGCAGGGATCAGAAATAATGCCCAGAGCCCTGTCTACCAGATGTGTTAGTGGGGTGTGGTAAGTCACAAAATAGCTGAGTGTATTTGTGTGCTGGACAGTTTAAAGCTCCCCTCCACTCAAAAATGTGTCTGGCTTATTGTTACTTCACTTGGATGTTTCACCTTCACTATGCAGAACAACTTATGTTTGACACTAGAAAGCTGTTTTCACATTCACATGCGAAAAGGGGAAGGTTCTGTGCTCATCTTAAATCTAGGTAAAGACAAGTACAGGCCTGATTGGTGATGTTACATCTGGTTTAGATGCTGGTATTAGTCCAATATGCATCCTCACACCATGCAATGTGGAAATGTGGAAGCCTCCAGCGTACATTCACTGGAGGATGGACCTTTCAGTAAAACCAGAGAGATTGAGAGATCAAGAAATAAAGAAATATTATCTGTGTTTAACTAGTTTATTGAAATCTTTAGTAGAAAACCTTGTCAGACACAAATTATTATTGAAAAAAAAAGTATTTTTATATATCACCAAACATTTCTGCAGGGGACCTTTAAATTTGACTGACTAATGTTAAATGCTGCTTTATGATGCTTTATTCAATATAAATGTTGGCATAATGATAATGATGTAAACAAAAAGAGAAAAAAAGAAATGCTGAATGCTGGAAACAGTTAAGTTAAAATATTAATAAAATAATAATAAAACTGTAATAAAATAAAGTAAAAACACCATAAAACGATAAAAGGGCTTGTAGACAGTAAAATTACAGGCAATAAATACAGATTGCGCAACATTTGCAAAAAGCTTCTTCCCCTTCAGACATGTGCTTTAAAGTAAATTGGCTACCTCATTTCTTAATCAAAAACCTGCATTTTTCCTTAAGCTTGCTTCTTTAGTACATCTGCTGTGTAAGATAATGACATTTACTTTTTGTGTTTTAGGCATATAGCTGACACATAGCTCATAAGTTTCAGTGTCCAACCAGCAGCTCTTCATGCAAACAATGAAAAATGCAAAGCTCACAGAAATACTAGCCTGATGATATTCCTGTGGCAACGGAGTGACTGTGAAAGAGACATGTGCTGAGAAAGAAATAATAATCGCTAAGAGCAAAGGAGATAAAGGGTAGAGGAAGACAGGAAGAGCAAATTACACTGAGTTGAGCAAGATATGGAGTAGGGGTTATTATTAAGTGTAGTGAGTACATGATGTTCTTCTCTAGGAAAGTTTTTAGACATGCAGCAAAGGTCATAAGAGACTCCCTCCCTCATGGTTGTAGGTGTAGAGTATTATCTTTGGCGTTGTGATGGTATTTATGGTGAGATGATATAAATTTGAGAATTTTAGAGATTTCTCTGTACTGTTTATAATGAGGTATTTATTCCTTTAACATTTCTTGGTCTGTTAGGTCATTGCAGCCATTGTTGCAAATCAAAGAGCACAGCTGATTCATGGAGATACTGGATTTTTGCATGATTTTTGCATCAATGTGTTAAAATATCTTGATGTGTCTGGTATTTCATTTGCATGAACTAAAAACAAAAACAAATATTTGAATATAACAACAACTTCTTCAACAATTTCTTATTTTATACATAAACAGCGTCTCAGTGGTCACGAGCCTCGAGTACAGCACTTTGCAAAATTTTAGAAATTATGTCATGAATAGGTTTTATATATTTGCTGTGACCACCCTTTACCTTTCCCACTTGCCTACAGTCTTGTCCCACTGGAGAACTTAGACTGTCTCAGTGTCTTCTGTCTATTCATGTAATTCCAGACTGACTCCATGATGTTGAGATCAGGGCTCTGTGAGGGCCAGACCATCTGTTGTAGTACTTTTTGTTCTTCTTGTCACTGAAGAAAGTTCTTTATGACTGTGGCTGTATGTCTGGGCTCCTCGTCACGCTGCAAAATAAATTAGGAACTGATCAGATGCCCCCCTGATGGTATTCCATGATAAATAAGAATCCAAATGTCCAAAGTGCCTAAAGCTTTTGTGCAGTACTGTATATAGATATTATGTTTAAAATGATATAGATATAGATCATTATCCATATCGTCCATCCCTGCTTACCCTTTTCACTTTTTTCCTTCCTGTGTCTCCTCCTCATAGGTGGGCGTTCACCCTGATCATCATCTCCTCCTACACGGCCAACCTGGCGGCCTTTCTGACCGTCCAGAGGATGGAGGTTCCCATCGAGTCCCCGGACGACTTGGCTGACCAGACCAACATCGAGTATGGCACCATCCATGGAGGGAGCACCATGACCTTCTTCATGGTACGACGCACTGCATATAAAGCTCTGATTTGTGCGTGTGTTTGGAATTTTTGAATGGTTATATGTTTGTGTGTGTAGATGTTAAACTATGCTGTCTGTGATGGCAGTTGGATTTACTCTACAGTCTGACAAATTCCTGAAACTCCTTTATAGCAAACATATATATATATATATGTATATATATATTTTTTTTTTTTTACAAAGTTTTTGTGTTTGTGTGATTTAGTCTTTATTTCTGCTTCTGGAGTGAATGGTTTTCCTCATATTTGCTACTATATCTCCGAGTTCCTCTATTGTTTTCTTTATGGCTGTTTGTGTTTGTGTTAAGAGGCTGACTGCATGTGTTTGCTTATGAGAGCGCTTCCGGCATCTGTGTTGGCATCTGTGTTTGTCATAGAGTGCGTGCACTCGTGTGTGTGTGTGTGTGTGTGTGTGTGTGTGTGTGTGTGTGTGTGTGTGTGTGTGTTTTGTCTTTGTGTGTAGGTGTGTTTGCGTGTGGGAGGGTATGTAGGTGAGTGTAAAATAAAAAAAAAAATAAAAAAAAATGTATTTGTTGATTTGCGTGCATGTATGGGAAATGGCTACATGCCAATTTGTGAGTGTGTGTGTGTGTGTTTTGCATTCTCCTGGTGAGTGGTCTGTGTTTGCCTACATAAGCCAGTTTCAATGCTACAGTACATTACCCCACTCAATGCCTAATCCACACACACCCACACACACACATACAATACCCACAGATGCCACCCTCCTTAAGCACAATGCACAGAGATACAACATGTAATTGTACACTTGAAACCCTTAATCCTGTTTTAGAGCTTGCCATGTTTTGCTAAGTGCCGAACCACCTCCTGTGTGTTGATTTACCTCCATCTGTATAAAAGGTGATGCATCAGCTATGCCATAAGCGAATAATCTGTTGCCTTGATTCACCTCGCTTTTTTTTTTCTCTCTCCTCTCCTTTCCTGTCTCCTTTTTCCCTGTATTTGCCATTGATGTTTTACTCTGCTTGTCATTATTCACACTGGATTTTCTGATCTACATGTATTTCCCTCCCCTCTTTATCTAGAATGCATCTCTCTCTCTCTCACTCTCTCTTTTTTCCATGTTTTCCTTTTTTTTTTAAGATTTTTTTCTGCTTCAGAGACAGATGCTAGGACATGTCGGGAGGCTCATGCAGTCAAATGTAGTCAGTGTTGAATTTCCATTGTTGTCTTCTTGTTCCTCTGCAGAACTCTCGTTACCAGACTTACCAGAGGATGTGGAACTACATGAACTCTAAGCAGCCCAGTGTATTTGTGAAAAGCACAGAGGAGGGCATTGCCCGTGTGCTCAACTCCAAGTATGCCTTCCTGATGGAGAGCACCATGAATGAATACCACCGCGGCCTCAACTGTAATCTCACACAGATAGGAGGCCTGCTGGACACCAAGGGCTACGGCATTGGCATGCCACTGGGTAACAATACTAAGTTATCTTTTTTCAAACAAAACATACATTAGAAATTTCTGTAAAGTGTTTACTTTTTTTTTTAACTATATTTAATAATGTAATAATAAGAAATATACAGTATGTACATACGTATATATGTATATACATACAGTATGCTCTTACATTTGATGAGTTACATTTTGAGTTGCTACTATGTTTTACTAACAACTTAAAGACTGAAACAAATAATAAAAACACCAACAAAAAGGAAAAGAGACAAGTGCATACAGTTAAAAATATGATAATGAATGTACAGGTCTTTGAGAGGGCCTGTGAAAAGGTGTTGAAGAGACTTAAAAATCAATATTGATTTAATCAGGGTAATTTTTTTAAGCAGGACATTGCACAGCATTCAGGCCACGATGAAAAACACTCAATCACCTTTTGTCTTTTTGTCTTTACTGACTCGCTTGAAGGTCTCAGGCTGGGATTCGTCTCATCAGGGGTTCAAAGGTCACAGAAGGCCACAAATATAGCTGGCATGCCTTTCATTAGACCTATGATTTATCAATAAAGGTCTGAAGTTGAACTTGACAAAAGGCAACCACTGTTAGGAAACCACAAGGAGTGAAACACTGATTCTTTTTTTCTTCCAAACACTGCTGCAGTATTTTATTTTAGTTGTGCCATAGCTTGTAAATGAAGGGCAACAGAATAGGATGTGGCTATATTTAAAGTGGGAACACATAAATAATGTTTGGTTTTGTGATTTCCACATCCAATAGTTCAAGAAAACATTGACAGAGCAATAGCTGTGAGATGTTACTCAAGCTTTAAACAAAGATCAGAAATATAATCCTAGAGCATGTTAAAGCAGTGGCTCCAAGCCCTCTGTGTTTGTGATCCCCCAATACGAAGCAACATCTACTTGCAGCCATCCATCACAGGGTGCATGCTGCATGTTTGAACTGTGTTGAATCAAAGAGTGACTTTTTCTCATTAGACGGTTTCATTTGAGGCCCAGAGAGATAAACACAGCACAGCACAGTATTTCACAAGAAAAAAAAAAAAACACGAACAGAATTTAGATGTTCTCGTTTCCCACCCTGGTAATCATCTCACAGCTCCCTTGTGGAGGTCCTGACCTCTAGACCGGGAACTAGTTGTGTTAAAAGGATTGATGTTGCAGTGAAATTCTTGAGCTTTGGTCATCTTCAGAAACATGTCAGACACCCTGCACTGAGCTTGGTTATAAATGTCACTGGGTTATTGTTATTTTAGTAGTTGAAAACAATAACACTGCAATGCACAATGAGTCCAAATTACACATGTGAGACAGAAGCAACTTAACCACTGTATTTTCACCATGAAAGTTAAGATGAGAACAATTCTAGAGCAGCACCAGAGATGGTAAAAATGCTGCTCTTAATGGTCTTTCTCTATGATGTTCAAGATCAAGGTTGAGTTTCTTCACAGAAACTGGACTCTTGTGATCCTAAAATAGTCAAGGACACAACTATTATTCTAGGAGCTATTTACAGTTGAGAGTGAAGTAGGTCACCCATAGCCCCAGTGACCTCTTTGAGGAATAGTGCGTGGGTATTAAGTCTACTGCACTGGTGAACAGTTACAAGATGCGTAAGTTCTGGCAGAGAAATTGGCATCCTGTGAGCGAGCGTGTTCGACAGAGGGCAGGGTGTTTCAACATGAATGATGAGGAGTTATCTTGGATCTAAAACTCTAAAACTCATCAAGAAAAAAAGGATAATAACTCATTAAGTGGGAGAAGCAGAAACACCAGCCTGAGATCAATTATGCTTAACAGACTCATGTAGTAGACACATCCAACCATCCATTCCATATCAGAAATGCACAACAGCAGTAGGTGGTGAAATTCACTCAGAGGGCAGTAGATGCTTACGGAGATAGGTGGTCAGGGTTTGTATTGTGGTGGGGAGGGGGATTACTATTTTTGAAATGGTGGGTAGTGATTTATAGTGTCTCACAGAAGATAACAGCTTGAACAGGTGGTTATCAGGACAGTTTTCCATGTTCTTTTAATGGATTGTTTTAGGTAGATAGGCTTTATTATGAAGTTTTAAATGATTTTTAAAAAATTCAAGAGCAGTGTGTCTTTCAAGAAGCAGTATCCCTGTTACATTTAGCAATTCACACAACACTGTCAACTGTTTTCATAGGGATTGTCTTCTTGTAGTGCATAGCTCTAAAGAAAACTGTGAAATACTGAGAAAATACATTCACAATTTTTAATGAACGGGCCCTTTAAATCTTCCCAGGCTCCTCTACTGTATCTTGTTAATAACATGCTTCGTATGCTGTCTGACCAGCAGCTGTACCACTGGGCTCTATCTGGATGTAATCTTGCTCTTTATCTCTCACTAATCCTCTCTTTATTCTCACCATAAGATCACTCATAGGCATCTCTAGGCTGCAACAGCAATTTGTACTCTGTGATTCCTTCGCCTTTTCTCTTTCATTTGCCTCATTTCATGTTTTTCTCCTCTTCTGAAATAATCCCTCTCTTGACTGGGCTTTTTTTTTTTTTTTTGTTTTTGCCGCACCTTTTCCATTCGCCACAACTTGCTCTTATCCTTGCTCTCTTTTCATTTGCCAGGGTCTCCGTTCAGAGATGAGATCACGCTGGCCATCCTCCAGCTGCAGGAGAATAACAGGCTAGAGATACTGAAGAGGAGGTGGTGGGAGGGAGGCCAATGTCCCAAAGAGGAGGACCACCGTGCCAAGGGTCAGTTGACCGCAGCTGCCTTTCTCCACTCCCTTCTTTTCTCTAATGTCCCCAATAATAGTCTCCTCACTCTCTGCTACAGTCCAGCTAATGGCTAATGCCTAACCTAATGTCCTTGTGACGGGTGCTTAGCACAATCTACATTCCCAAATGTAGGTGATGTGTAATGGGAATTTTATTGGAGAGAATGCGTTTGTTTACTTGTGCATGTCAAATGTTTATGTGTGAGCGTCATGTTTGCCTGCATGAATAACAAAGACAATGAAAATGCCTCAGCATTTATGCCGCTGCTGTCAGATGAAAATCTCTTTTAAAAATGGTTTTAATAACGGAACACTTCACGTTGATTTTTCAGCATCACTGAGCATCATCTGTACAATCTCAAGCATTTTAGAGCTCCACAATTCTGGTACTTGCTCAGCCACTTCATCATAGGTCATTTAAATTTTTGAATTAAAATTTTTTTTCAATGTGAAAGGCACTCCAGCGATTTCACACTGCACTTTCTCAAAAAATGTCAAATTTGAGGCAGAGAAATTCAAACTCCAGAAATACTGGATCCTACACTTCTCATAATGCAACATAATAGCATCTATGAAGCTACAGCTAGTCATCTTAGCTTAACATACTGAGTTTAGCATGAAGATCAGAGATGAGGGGAAACAGCCAGCCTGGCTCTGTATGAAGGTAACAAAATCTGGCTCTCAGCACCACTAAAACTCACTAATGAGCACTTATATCTATTTTGTTTAATTTGTACAAAAACCAAAGTGTAAAAAGGAAAAGTTGAAGTTCTCAGGAAGTTACTGCCTCCGGCCAAGAAATAATTCAGCACATAACCCCTCGTAAAACCAAAACTTAATTAGTGAGCTTTAGCAGCGCTGTGATGCTGAATGTGTTACCTTAGGACAGAGCCTGGCTAACCGTTTCCAGCCTTTAACCAGCTGCTGTCTCTGACTTCATATTTATTGATCTTCTCATCTAAGCATATTCCCCAAAATGTTGAACTATTCCTTTAATGGAGCTCCTTCAAAGCCAACAGAAATCATTATACAATAGTTTTTGTAATGTAATGTAAAATGCCCCTTTTAAGGAGAGTTTATGCGTGTGTGTGCTAATGTTTGTCCCCTGTGGCCCGCTCTCAGGTCTGGGCATGGAGAACATTGGGGGCATCTTCGTGGTGCTGATCTGTGGCCTCATCATTGCCGTGTTTGTGGCCATTATGGAGTTTGTGTGGTCGACACGCCGCTCGGCAGAGACTGATGAGGTATGCCCCCATACCTGCCCTCGCCGACCCCACAGACACACCCCAGTAGGTTCCCATGGCATCCCGCCAACCCTTTTGATTATGTTGTTTTGTGTGTATACTGTGTGCTTGTGTGTGAGAGTGGGTAGATTTTATTCAGCTTTTGCCTCCATTGGTATGTGTTTGTTTGTTTATGTGTTGCTATAACATTTGAGGTTCAACGTGTTATGTGCATGTGAGATGAGAGGAATGTTGAAAGTGTGCAGCACTGAACTGCTGTTGTGTCCAAAAATGATTAGAAAAAAAAAAACATATAGAGAATTTGATTTCACTTTGCATGTCTTGCCTGTTTTGAAGTCATTGTGCCTTTTTAGTGTTTGGTGTTTAACAGTATGGCAGTAAGTGTTTGTGAGCTAAACTTGATGGTACGGATAAGCAATATTGAGAAATGCCAATATTTGCTTGCATAAAGAAGTAGTGTGATCTTTTTCCCTGGCATTAAATGTCATGATGTATCTTCTTTTACATGCCTCACATGTACGCTGGTATTCTTCGTTTCCATTCTTGGATTACTTCTACCCATCTCACTGTGCGTCTCCCTCTATCTCTCTCTCTCTCAAACACATACCTCCTGTCATTCGGCCATCAGTGTCTGTTCTCCAATAATGAGTACTGTTTCTGTCTATGTGAGCACACGACTTTTTATTATGATTTCAGTGAGAATGCTGTTTGTCTGTAGTGGACATGTTGATGCATTTTGTTCATCGTGTGTGCAAATTACAGTAGTCGTGCTGTTGGAATGATTAAAAAGATTTATGGGTGTGTGTGTGCAGGTGTGCCAAGTTGATGTATTGCGTGAGTGTGCCTTTGTATATGTGCACCTGAGTTTGCAGGCCTGCCTGTCCGTTCATAGTGCATAGTGCCATAATGAAGTGCCCATAAACTAAACAACATTTTGGTGTTTTGTGTGTTTGGATTGTAATAACTCTCTCTGCTCCTTGGATATTCTCCCATCTCTATCCATCTCCACATCCTTCCCCATCACCTCCTCACTTTTGTTTTCACACCATCCCTCCATTTGTTGATCTCTGTGCCTTTGCTTCTCCTGCGACTCTTTCGTTTACCATGCCTTACTGTGTCTGTTTTCCGCCTTGTTCCCTTTTTTGTTTTTTTTGCTTTTCCTTTCAATTTTTTTGTTTTCCCTCCGCTCTCCTATTTATGTACTGCCTTACCACTGTCTTGTTCTGCTGCCTGCCTACTTTGTGTCTGTGGCGCCCCCCCCCCCTCCCTTTGCCTCCCTTCCTTCCCTTTTTCTTCCCTTCCGTCTCTCCTTCTTTCCTCCCTCCTTTTCTTCTTTAGGTGTCTGTCTGTCAGGAGATGATCACAGAGTTCCGAAACGCCGTCTCCTGTAAGAAGAGTTCCCGTATGCGCCGTCGGCGGCCCCTCAGCAGCTCAGCAGCCCTGCGCCACCCCACACGCATAGCTCTAGGGGCCCCTCGGCCCCTGCGCCTGGTGCGGGAGATGCGCCTTAGCAACGGAAAGCTCTACAGTGGAGCTGGCCCCCTGACAGGTGGAGCTGGAGGTGGAGCAGGGGGGACAGGGCCTTCAGATCTGGGCCCTGGACCACAGCGGATCCTAGATGATCCGCTGGGGGCCAACACCACCCCTCCTCCACCAGCCCCCACCCCTGTGATGCTGCCCGCCCGCAGCTGCACCCATGTGAGGATCTGCCAAGAGTGCCGGAGGATCCAGAACCTGAGATCAGGCAGTAGTATAGGATCAACCTCAACAAGAATACCACCCTCATCAGCACCCCTGCCCAGGCTACCCCCACCCCCTCCTCCATCCTCATCCAACACAGACAGTGAGGGTGGAGGGGGGCCCAGCCCAAGGCGGCTACATCACAGCCCCCCACCTCATACCCCTCGACCCATTCCACCTCCACAGAGCAGCAACACCACAGACCTACTGGTTGACCAGGACTGAGACCAGACGCAGAGGGTGGGGTGAGAGGGCTGCAGGTAGCCAATGATGTGACTGAGGGACGTTTGTGCTGCTGAGAGAAACAGTGCTTGTTTCCACAGGTGAAATTCATCAGAGAACAAAAGAGGGAGGGATGGAGGGGAAAATAAAGTTAAACTCCGCGAGGTCATCCAGTGGCGAATGAAACAACCTTTAAAAGGAGAGTAAACAGGGAAAGCTGTAACCCTCGAGGTCTACAAATACAGAACTGGCTACAAGCATACAGTGAGATTGTGATCAGTTAAAGCTTCTGTTATCAACTCAGAAGAACAGTTCAGTTTGGACAAATGTGAGCAGATATGCACATGACCAGATGATGGTTTCCACTGGCTTCCTTTTTCTCTCCTTACTCCCCTCTCACTTCACCGTTAGATTTGAGGGGCGCTGGTTTTCTTCCACAGACACTTCCCTGGAAGTTAAGTACCCCTCTAGTAAAATGAAGCCTTGTGTTGGAGGACATACCGTATCCGTATGTGATTTAAAACAGCAACTAAAAGACTTCCAGAAAATTATTTCCTGTTTTTTTTTTTCTTTTATTGTCTTTATTGTTTTGTTACCATTGTTCTAAGTGGGAATTACAGAGTTAAATACAGACTATATGTGACAATATGGTGGATTATAACATACTAAGAAACCTGACTATGGCTAATTGTGCTCAAGAGTTTTGTGTCCCTCCCTGTGCCCCATAGCTGCTTTTTGGGTGGTATCAATGAAGTGTGGATAAAACGACTTCAAGATGACAATGCAAACAATCACAGAGGAAACTGTTGGCCTGCCTTTCTTTACACTGTGCGTGTGTGTATGTAAAAATGTGTGCTTCCTGTTAGTCCGTCTGTAACTACACACAGTGAGGAGAACCATGTACCCAGCAACAGCACCCTTCTACTAATGTTAGATAATCAGACAGCCACAAAAAGGGAGAGAGGAAGAGAGAGGGAGCAAGGGCTTTGAAATGTGAAATTAATGTCCCTCGTTATCCTGGGTAATGCTTGCCAAGCCTTTACTTCTTTTTCCACCTCTGTTCACACAGCGTAGAAGAGATAGAGAGAGCGGGAGAGGCAGAGCCAGAGCGGAAAGATAGAGAAGAACAGAAAGAGAGGCGAGAGAAAGAGTGTAAGGACACTACAGGATTTGAATGAGAAATCCCTAACTGAACTACTTCCATTATTAGATCTGTCCTGATCTGTTAATTCTGGGCATCTTTTAAGGGGCTTGTTAATGCGCCAGCAGGCTGTAGCTGCAGCTTCTTCCGTTCTCTCTGTTTAACAGACAGACTTGGCTGTACACAGTAGAGGCTCCTGCCAGAGTGATAGACTCAACACAGCCTTGTCAATACTGTGTCAAGCTTTTGATCGCCTAATTACTCCCCTCGGTGGCTGGGGACTCATTCAGGAGGTGGTTGAACACAGGGAAACATGCTGATAAATAGATTTAGAAGAAATACATGTTTTTCAATCCGGCTGGGTAGAGATTCTGGTCTCTTTTAATTATGTTGTTAATGTTACAGCCCTACTGTTGTGTGAAAGTCTAACTAAAACAACCCAAACACTACAGTATATTAGCTACAGTGCTTAAAGGAATATACTGGTGGATTTGCATTTTTAGCCGTTCAACTTTAAATGTGTGTACACTTCTTATTACTGCTGATGATTATTCAAACCCTTAAGATTCCTAAACTCCCAAATAGCCACTGCTTTCATACCAAGTAATTATGGTATGAAAATCATGTTTCACACACTTGCATTAGATAGCTGATCCATCGCTGTGAATGTTTAATAAGTCTGGTTATGTATTTCTTGATGTCCTTAAATCCCATGTAAAGACCAAAACAAACAATGACTTTATCTGACTAATAAGTAGATAAAGCCTGATATAGCTTATTCCTCTGTGCCATAGACCTGTGTTGTCATCCAAATTCTCTCACACTCTGAACAGCCTCACCATGGCATGTTCATTCACTACCATGTACACAAACACTGTTGTTTGTTTTGAGTGAGTCCCAAATACCCAAATATCATCCTGTTACCATATTTACACACAAGCATATTAATCCACAGCTGAAAATAGTCCCCAACAAATACATCATTTACTCCTGTTTGAGTAATGTTTGCTAAAAATCTACAGAGCCCAGCTGTTGTAGAATCTGCCTTTTTTTTTTTTTTTTTTTAAATGAAACTATATGTCATATATTTATCACGTCAGTGGTGGGAACAAATGGCTGGTATTGAGAGTTGAACTAATGCGTTGTTGGTTTTGGGTTTGTTGAGAATAACAAAAATATACCACCAACCACCACCACTGATGTTTAGGAGCACATGTTAATTACATCAGATCAGTTTTATGTCTCTCGTAGAAGAATAAGATTCGATCCACTTATTTACACTGAATGCATGACACATATCAGGAATAAATGGTTACTGATTTCCCTTTAGTTTCCTCCAAATCAAAAGTATACAATTCATTTTGTGTGTTGTAGCTGTGCTTTCTGTGGTGTGCCACCTTTTTGTAAAAAAGTCCCAGAAGAAGCAAATCCAACTCTGTTGAACAGTTTACTCAGTATCATGTTTTCATTACATCATAGGTAGACATAATATCTATCCCAGAATCATATATGACGTCGGTATCATGTGCTGCATTAGCATTTTCTGCAGGTTGTTGACTCATCACTGTCTCTGTGTTTATTAATTCTGTTGCCCAATCACTTCCAAATATCCCCCATTTAGTGATTCACTACTTAGTAGACAAGGGAGTGATTGGATAGACACCCTTGCTGTACTTATAGTAATTATAAAAAGCCTTTCTAGCCTTGGTTGGTGTGTTCAAGGATATACTGACATTCAAGATTTGAGAGTTGGCTGATGCAAGATATTACCGGTTTCCCATTACCCCATTCATATATGCCATTCCTTTTATAGTTTGATTTCGTGACAGCAGAGATTATGAATGTCATTCTTCTCAGCTGCTGATTCTTAGTTCTCGAAAAGTCAGTGTTCCCTTACTGAAAGCATCAATAACACTTTTGTTTCCTCTTTTTTGCCCCTGCTTTGAAATGACAATTTGTGCCACAATCTTTGTGTCTTGTAACCTCTAGACAGCCATGAGTCTACCAGCTACTTTTTTTCACCTGTGACTGAGGCTCCATGCTATCATCTCAGATCAACTCAAACTGCAGGAGTCGGTAGTGCAGCAACAAAAACATGATCCCTGATCTATATTCAGCAGTAATACAAAGTGTGCAAGGTAACATGCAAAACCACCAATACAGCCCTTTACAAATCCCTTGAAAAATGCAGGCATTGTCGTCTAGGCTAACATTGCATTGCTGTATTGAATTATGCATTTTGCAGTGAAGCTGATTTCTCGACACTGTTGTGTTCCAGATAATGAATGATAACATTGTTTGCACACATTATGCCGTTTCCCTCCTCAGCAGAAGCAGACCTGGATTTGGTACGTTTCTTCTGTTTACTTCTGCCTTTGTGTCCAGAATGCTGACAAGACAACATGAACTGTCTCCACAAGTTGACACAGTATGCGCACACACACACACACACANATAACATTGTTTGCACACATTATGCCGTTTCCCTCCTCAGCAGAAGCAGACCTGGATTTGGTACGTTTCTTCTGTTTACTTCTGCCTTTGTGTCCAGAATGCTGACAAGACAACATGAACTGTCTCCACAAGTTGACACAGTATGCGCACACACACACACACACTCACACACTCACTGGGGGGCACTCATTGACGTAATGTATTCCCTAGCCCGTTCCATCAACCCTTACCCAAACCTAAACCTAATTGTAACCTGAACCTTAAAACCAAATCTTATCAATTAAAAAGCAGTCTCTACCCACGGGGACCCAATTCTTTTATCCTCATGAAACCTCACAAGACCCCATGGGTGGGTCTGCAGTCAGGTTTAAGTCCCCACCAGGATATAAAACAAGTGCCCATGTAGTCATAGGTCAGTTCTGGGTAACTTACATGGACTTGCATTCATTTCCTGGGGATTTACCCTAACCATAACCACTACTAACCTAAACCTGACCCTTACCTTAACCACTGACCCAAAAATCAGCTTTTGTCCCCAGTTGGTCCCCAATTAACTGGGCTTTTTAGTCTGAAATTTGTCCCCAATAGTAGCCTATGACAGTCATACACATACACAAACAGAAATGCACTCATCCTCAACATACTCATTTCTGATTCCCCTGTTGTCTAAATGCTACTTTGTTTTCAAATTTGTCTTCAGAGTCTCTTTTTCTCGTCTTCTTTGGTTTGTTCTGTATTTGAATTCACAAGACTTGATATGTGACAGCACCACATAGCCATTAAGTGGCTATCAACAGCTTTAAACCATCGGCTGAAAGCATTTGTTAGCTGCGGAGCATTAATGTAGAGAGGCAAGAGGCGGGTACAATCCCTCACTCGAGTATGAATATCAAAGGGAAGGGAGGGTCACAAAACAGCTTCAGACAGGGTGTCTGAGCGGTCACTCAACAAAACAAACCTTTTCATTTACTTTTATGTTCTTTTCTTTGATATTTTTTCATATTTCTATACTAGTGCTAAATGGATTATTAAAACTGATGATGAATATTATGATTAAATTGTTGTTATTATTCCTATTGAAGAGCGAGAGGTTCTATAGTGTGCTTGTGGGTGAAGGGTGGGCGATGGGAGGCTTTGGGATGAAGGTGCAATGATGTTCTTCAGAGAGATCGCCCAGTTGTTCAAACCTATAGACACACAAACTTCTTTTGGAATAAAAATATTGAAACAGTCCCATAGTGACGCGTCTTTGCTTTTTAAGTGGAAAGTCCCCTGTGACTGAGATATTACAACATATGATATTATTAGATTGTTAATACAGATGCCTCAGTGTGTAAGCAGCATTTCACTGTCGAAGTCGTTTGAGTTGGAACAAGTTTTAACTGCTTGATGTAAAATTTCATAATTTAGTCAAGCAAGCAGATCCCAACCCAGGGATCGGGCCCCTCTAAAGGGTCACAAGATAAATCAGAGTGGTCGTGTGATGATCAATGGGGCATGAAAGAAGATATAAAAACAAAATTCTGATAGACACATTTGTATTCAATTTTGGGTATTTCTCTATTGTGTTTTTGTGAAATGTTTGATAATTTTAGATGGTAAATGTTTTTGGTGGGATTTACATTCATTCTAACACTGCATAATGCACTACATAACTAACTGTGATTTCCTGTCATGACAGAATTCTACAGAAAAAAATGCAGAACTTTATTTAGCAATAGTAGCCACAACATAAAAATGTAGTTTTAAAGCAAATGAAGACATGGTTTACACACTAAAGTATCTCAAAAGAATTGCTGATTGTAAAGAAATCTGGAGCACCTACTTTCAGTAGAAATATGGTGTAGATTTCTACTGAAAGTAGGTGCTCAAGATTTCTTGAGCACAACAACCAGAAATAAATGAGTCCTTAAGTTAGTACTTTTACACACCTAAAAAACACATTTCCCACACCTCCTGACAACACAGACTATAATTGTAATGAAATTTCTTAAGCACTGAATTTCAATTAAAAAATAAATAAAAGACTGCAAAATGAAAAAAATTATACTGTAAAAATGCTTTTACACAGCAAACAACTGATGTTCATTGACGGTATGCATCTCTACAGCAAAACCACGTTCTGTCACCTTTTATTGGTATGACAAAGAATGTAATGAGGATTGTGAGATCAATGCAATAGAATGTGCGCAACAGACACAACACAGAAAGAAAACTGAGTAGGATAAAAGACTAACTTTCAATAGAATCTATGTCTCTAGAAAACTGATATGATACTGTATCATGATATGCAATCCTTGTTTGGTTTAAAGCTGCTGTGTGTAAGTTTGAGGAATTAGGAAAGTACAGCCCTTTGGTAACTTACCACCAGCTCTGTCGTCTGTAGCATTTCGAAATATAATTCATATTGGATGCTAAAATTTGGTCTCACAGTTGAAATGTGATATTTGTTGCTGCCTGTTTGTCTGAAGGTAAAGCTAAATTCATAAGAGATTATTATTGGACGGTTTAACAACAGTGCTGCCTCTTTGCACTTTGGGGTTCTTATATGTACAGATATAGCTCCACATTTTAATCAAAATAAAATGAACAGAGGCAGTGGGTATCAAATTTAGCTTCATTTTTCAAATATATATTACAGATTGGATAAGATATGCATCTTTTACTACATTCACTGTTTGTGCCTTCTCTGTGCTTTGTCCTCAGGGGCCACTGCGGATGAGGGTGATTATATTTTATATTTTTCCTACTGTCAACAAATCCCACGAAAAGGCCAAGAATAACATTGATCCATTGTCGTCCAACAACTATTAACAACACATTAATGAGTCACTGTTGACCTTGGTGACATGTTCCTCCATTATAATGAACACTGGCATTGTTTATATGAGTCAATCACACATACACAGAAATGTTGCTGTAAATATATTTGCTAAAACACCAAATGAGTATTAATCTGCACCTGGAAATACTTCCCCAGCAAATGTACAGTTTACTTTTGTTTGAGTAACATTAGCTAAAAAGTATAGTTGCCCCGCTCCAATGAATAACAATGATGAATAACATCAAACTGTTGTTAATCATTTTTATAGATCTATGTCTTCGACTAAGGGCCGCAGATAGAGCAGGGAAATCAGAAAGTATCGAGAGTTTGAATAATGCTCTGTTGGTCCTGTTTTTTCATACAATTTGTTGACAGTAAGAAAAATGGAGAACAACACTGGCCTTTAAGAATAGGATGATTTATTAACAGCTGTCAGGATGTGATGACTTTTGAATTTTACTCAAGATACCAACACGCTAGTAAATACAACTTACACACAACAGCTTTAAGAGAGTGTGTTTTTTTTTGTTTTTTTTTTACACATCATTGCACATCTCTTTCTCTTCTTTTGGGTTGCCAACAGTTAACCATCACCTTGAAGTATATGTGACATCATCATGAATGGTCTCTGTGTTTGTCATTGGAAGAAGTTGTAGCATCTCTGAATGGTTTGAACTTGACATCAGAGTAGATCAGACCCTATGAGGCAGAAGAGACTTCAGTGCTCCATTTTATCATCATTGTTCTCATCAAGTTTTGTTGCATTTTGTGTCAAAGCAACAGAATAGTCAAACCAACCAATGTTTTTCAACCACAATTTAAAGCTGTAACCTCAAACCAACTCTGAGCTCACCTCGTCTCTTTCAATCACAGATCACTGGACTAGCTGTATCTGGAAGACAGAATAGCTTAAGTAAAAGGAACTGAAACAAACACAAGATATAACTAATATGCAGCTGTTTAGAAATCAAAATAGGAGAAACTTGTGATTTTTTTTCCTCACCAGTGCAGACACGGTGCTTGACTGTCTGAGTAAAGAACCGTATTATGATTAGCTATTTTGCACTTGTCTACATACATTCAGGAGAAGATTTTCTCCCAGTTCATACAGACTGTTTAAAATATAACATGTGCTTTAATAAACCAATGAATCATTAATGAACTTAATCTGGCATCTGCAGTGATACTGTACAGGGCCAAGTTTTAGTTTTTGATCAAAAATGTTCGCTAAATGCATGATAAATGATAAAGTCTTCTCAGTGTCTTCTCAGTAATATCACATGACATGTCCTTCTCTGTCATGAAAGGAGTTTGCTCTTCAACAGCTCATCTACGCCTACACAAAATACAAATCTGACACACCTTATTCTGATGATAATGACATAAGTTGTGATTGCCATGGTCACTATAATCAGAATGAATATGGCTGTAGCAATCATCCTTGGTAATATCTGCATCAGTTCTGTCTGTTCTGGGAGAGGAGACAGGTGTTATCTTCAGTGAAGTTAAGTGAAATTAATGTAAATAAAAGTTCACAGTGTTGATATAACCCTGATAATGTAATGATAAATTCAGACAGTCACTGTATTTGTAAGGTATAAATGTAGATTAATTTATGGTAAAAAAGGCAAAATTGAGAGACATACAAGGTAAGGGTATGTCAAGCTCCACTTACTTATACGGTATAAGAAAAACAGACCCATGTTATTTACCATTCAGATGTTATAGACAGGTCATACTCATTTTGAAAACTTTCTACACCTAATGTTAAAATGGACAATTTGTGCAAAAATGCCTCACATACCTCGAACAACAAGGTTGGTTTTTCCTTCAAATGAACCAAGAGGGAAGGTTGCAATGGTGCACACGTATGACCCTGCATCTCTCATTTCAACGTTTTTAATTAGCAGCAATTGTTCAGTAATCTCCAGTCTCTCCTTCAGAGAAGATTCAGGAATGCTCACCCCAAACTGGCTACTAAAAACAATAATAGAGATAAGTTTTCCTTCTGGTTGCAGGAGATCCCAATGAACCTGTGTAAGATTGACATTTTGTGATCCTTGGATAAGTTGGCATGGCAGGGTGACATCATGCCCCAGGTATCCAGTCACTTCAGGCCAGACATTGACTCGTTGGCCCTCCAGAACTGCAAAATATAAGATGATATCATGGCAGGAGGAAGAGAGAAATGGAAAAATACTTTAGCTGCCCACTGTATGGTTTGTCATCCAACAAAAGTAACTCAAAGACTACCTTTGGGATTCTACTTATTATTTTGTTTTTTTAGTAATTACTCAAATTATCTTGTATCAGATTCAAAGTCGACAGTTCAACACCACCAAAAAAGTACCTTTTCACAAACATTTACCATTTTACAGCAGCTATGTTAACCAGTTCAGGAGGTCTAAAAATATGTTGAGAATGTTGTTCAAGAAAATATAAGTGACACATTACAGTTTTAAATTATTATTTCTAAATATTGGCTTACTACTATCCTGTGTTCAACACACATGCTATGGATATGTTTCGAAGCTTTTCAGAAAATAGCCAAAACATTTGGTCTTACCTGGTAAAATGAAGTAGATCAACTTGAGCATTAGGAGAGGTGATCTGACACAAGTTTTCATCGTGCAACGCTACAGGGTGTGGACAAAATACAGATACGCCTCCAGTGAAATAAACTTTATCGTTGTAAATCATACTAATTTAAAATTGCATGTTTTTAGTCTAAAAATCACCATATAATTGAATTTATAAGACAAGATGGACTTACATATTTAGAAGGGTTGCAATGTGGGCACTATCAAAAATATCACTCTGATGCCAAAAATAGGTTTAAAAAAATACAGTCTCAGAACAGATCAAGTTGAATCTATTCAGCTGTTGTTGAAACAGTTTCTTGTATATAATTTCTCTACTTAGGTTCCTCAACCTTAAGCTCTAGCATGTTACCTAATACTTAGGTTCCTCATAAACTTAAAGTGTCACAAACAAGTGTAAGATATAACAGGTACAACAGTCAAATGAAAAACAAAAAATCACAATTGACCAAGAAAGAACCTGCAGGACTGTGGCACGAAGCTTTTCTCATCTCTAACTAGTTTTACTGGAGAGAGAAAAACTATACTTTGTACTATACTTTTAATTTTCATTATTTATTTTCTCTTAGCAGTCAGCATGATTGCTCATGGTTTTTAGCTCCCTTTCCTCCAGTCAAGCTGTACGCTCCAGTAGAACAGTGACATCACGTGGTCAGAAGATCATCATGTAGAGAAACACTTTATTGAACAATAATTGCCCTCTTTACACTATAATAGAGAACTGACCAAACTGCTGCTTGATATTTTTCTGAAAGCATTGACGAGTGACAGTGTTTGATAAAAAACTAAACTGGATGGACAAAACAAGCATTTTCATGGACAATTTTCACTATTTCACGGACCAAAAGATTTATCAATAAATCTACAAAATAATGAAAATAAGTGTTAGTTGCAGCCCTAATTGTCATACTCTCAAGAACGTAGAAGTGGTTATGGTGACGTAACAATGACTTGCTGACAAGTTACTGACTTAAAGGTGAACAATTGGTTCCAACGAATTGTGTAAGACTTAAACCAAATTTTCTTTTTGTCAAAACCAAAGCTGCTGTAAACACTACACAAACAGACTGGGACATTCAAAAAAACAACTACAGCCAACATGTGTCATGACAACACTACTGAAAAATATTCTATCATCACCCTCTCTCCACATCTCTGAAAAAAGAACTGCGTACTCTGGTGTGCACAGCTGAAAATATTGGAACTGAAACCATGTGTGGTTCATTAAACATGTTTTTTAGATTTCCAATGTTACAGAAAATACGGTGATGTTTCCTTATTTGTAATTTTGAGAATGTACTCTCAGCAAGGTGCAGGCCAGTGAGCCTGAATACATGTTCATCAAAATTAAACAAGTCACACAGCTCCTCTCCAATAATAATAATAATCCCTAAATGTTCCCAGCTATCTTGCCTTCATCAGGATGGTGTTTCCTTTACTCTCAATTATGGGTGGAGTTCATTTCCTTTAGATTTCGAGGCTCTGGTGGAATGTACTGTCTGAGAAGCAGAACATCACAGGAAAGAGAGAAGGTCAAGATTTGTAAATCTACTGGTGTAGTTTTGTGAAGGAGCTGCTCTCTGTCAGCATGAAGGAGGAGACCCGTTCAAGTAACAGATGCCTCTAAAAACTATATGGTTTCATAAACCATCAGGTCTGCACAATGGAACAATTGTAATCAATTACGTATTTGAATCTAATGAATTTAACCTTCCAGTGTTGCAAATGTAAGTTCCTGTTAAGCTCAGAGAAGGAGAAGTTATAGCAGCAGTACTTCTCTTTATTTTGTAAACAGCACTTACAAAAGTTGATTTAATACTTGTACCAACACCCCCTGTATGTACATGGTGCTAAAAGTAAGTTTGTAAAAACTTCATGTAAGGGACACAACACAGCTTTAACCTCCATGTGTATGTGAGTTGGGAGGAGTGGCAGGTGGCAGGTGGCGTGTGGCGTGTTGCGTGTGGTGTGTGATTTTGGATTAGTTTTGTGAGTCGGTTTTTGTCATTGAATTACCTATTTTCCACCTAGCCCCTATTGTGTTTGTTTACATTTGGGTTCAGCAATCTTCAATCCAGCAATGGTGGCAGCAAAGAGACTTATAACTGACAAAGAGATGCCAAACAACCACTTAGAGATGAACCCACAAAGAATCTTTAAAACTTTCTTCCCAATCAAATCAATAGGGGATCTCTGACAAGAAAGTAAACTTACCTCTGGGCAGTTGATTTTCTCATGCATAGAGGACATAGGAACCTTGGCAAAGCTCCCTGCTTTGCTAAGGTCTACGTTTCTTTACAGACCAGTGTGATGTAGCGGTGGAGATACAAGTATTTTACCTACTGACACTGTACGCACATACTATATACACAGAGCCAGGGATCAGTTCACTGCAGCCATCATGTTTTTTGTTGTCCATATTTAAAATAAAAATGGAGGTGGTGTCAGTGATCACTGACCAGTCAGCTATGTGGACAGTCTATAAAAGCAGGTATCTGTGTTGTGCTCTCGTTCTCTGCTGCTGCCAACCACACCCCACATCCTGTTCACCCGACCTTGGAAATTGTCACAGGTATGAGAGCGGTTTCTGTGTTTGTTTGTTCCCCAATTTGTTTTTCTTATGCTGTTATTCATATTTGTCACTTACAATTTTGTAGATCTTCCCACAGTGGATGCCGACCCTCCAAAGTGATACCTCCCTGCTTGCAAAATTGTATCAGTCCAAGCTTGGCCTGATATCGTAAGTACAAATCGGCAGAGTCGTGGCTGTGAGGTATTTCTGCAGCGCTGACTGATAGTTCTGGACGGAGTCTGGGCCAAGAGATACAGCTGAAGTGTGGTCCAACTGGTGGCCCGAGTCCAACAACCCACAAACAAGCCCAAAGTACACCACAAATACTTGACTCAGCTCATTATCAATTCAGGCAGTGGGCCAGAATGGCTTACATTATTAATTTCCTGCCATTTTCCCCATGCAAAACCTTCCCTGAGATGAAGGGTAGAACCAGGTTACATGTAGAAAAATGCTCAAAAATGACACATAATTTACAGAACCTGAGTACTAACTTTCATTCATGGTTACACAGGAGTAATGGAAGTTTAGCAGGATTTTTCTTTGCTACTTCAGTTCAACTCTTTCTGTTCCTACACACCTGCATCACCAATTAAATGTACAAAGTGTTCCTCTGTTTTCAAAGACTGAAACACGACTGAAACAAGCACAGTATGTAACTTCTGCCACTAGGGTACTCTCAATCAAACCAATAACAAAGTATGGCATTTGTTGATGTTGTTAAGTAGTGTGGAATCATGAAAGTTGTCTTTACTACCACTGCTATCATTGCAGTCACTTTCTCTTGGTTAGGAATCCTTCAGTGTCAGTCATTCAGGAGGTTTTTACTGTGAGCCAAATTATCTGCAGAGGTCTCATCATCTCCAAAACAATTGAACTAGGTGATTAAAACCAGTAAAAACACTGAATAAAGCAGTTATCTCTGATAACTTATGGTCCAGATGTTTCAGAGGGACTGAGAGATGAGTTGCCTGACATTTGCTTGGCTAATTTCTCTAATAACTTACCATCCAGATGTCCAATGACTAAAATCCTTCCTCTGGTTAAAACTACCATGATTTAAAAAGTGTATCTTAAAAATGTGACTTAAAACTGGATAAAAAGTCAATTTTTATGCTTTTGGCAGGACACCACAATGCCATCGCAGCACATAGGAGATATGACGCAACTGACAGACGACCAAAGGAAATGGACCATTACCATGAGGTATGAAAATTGCTGGAAACATTTGGGATAATGTAGGTACACAACTCAACAAAATTTTATTTGTTTGTCTGTCACTGGGGCAGTCCATGTATGAATGTGTTTTATATCAATACAATTCAATGGAAATAATCAGAGATAAGATTTAAAGAATTTTAAATGTATTACAGTAAGTGATAAGATGCTAAGAGACTGGGGTCTGGTAGTTATTTTGATCCCAATTCACAGCATGCAACAAGTTGTAGATATCATTGCAGACCAGTGGGGTTAGGAAAGACGGGTCAAAAATGTGGGGCCTTTTGCATGTATGTCTCCAGGGGCCCGTTGTCTTATTATCTGTCCATTGCTGCAGTTACAAATAGCAACTATTTAATGTTTTTGTCTCATATTAATATATTTAAAGTATTTTTTTTAATTGAATAAGTAGGCCTAATGTAATCAGTAATGTGAGTCCTAACACACTTTCATTAATTTTACAAATGTGCCCCCTTTCTTTAAAACTACCTGAGTCTCTTGTTTCTTAACCTATCTGTAACATAATGGTATTAAGCGTTTGAGAGCTAAACTGAGAGCTAATGCCAAAATTTGCTTGCGTAAGGAATTTGTGCTTATTGTTCATTGTCATTGACTGATTTCTTGACAACATAACACATGAAAGTGTGTTTCAGTAGGGCCACTCTCAATAGCATGGCAGTGACATGTGTCTCTGCTTTTTGAGTGAAACGTTTTCTGCATTTTTGTTTTCATCTCAGTACTCTCTGAGTTAGATGATGCAGATATGGAAAGCCTGTCACAATGCACTCCCATCAAACAGCATTTGTCTTATCTTTCTCATCTATTTCCTGTCATGACAGAACTCTGTGTAAGAAAGACAAGAGACTGCTGATTGATATGGCATGGGAAAATTCAAAACTTTATTAAGCAACAACAGCCACAAACAATGTTACATTCTTAAGAAAAGGTTGAGATAAGACACAGAATTGTGCGCTGTCATTTCTGTTTACAGGACTGGTATATTTCATAAGCGTTACAGTGATTGTAATCAGACTTCTTAAGCCCTGACTTTCGCACAACCTCAACACATTCAAAATTAGATTTAAAGACTTCCCATGTTTGCAAAGCAATACGCTAATCATGTTTTCACATGTTCTGACAACACAGTGAGTGTAGCAGACATTATCTTACACCCACAAAATGACAGTGTCAGGAAACGCTGTTTCAAAACTACCAGGTGAAACACAGTGACTGTTGGTAACGTTCAGTGATGGTTTGCACCTCTACAGCAATTTGCAAACCATATTTTGTCACCTTTTTACATCAGGCGTGCTCATACTGCAACACCCATAGACGTGATTATGACATTAACCCTGAGCAGTGTTCTGGACAAGAGACCTAAAGCAGACAGAATATGGCCGGAAATTACAAACCACTGAACCATGACATGCAATTCTTGATTTTGGTTTAAAACCACTGTAGACAGGTTTGGGGTAACAGGTAGAAATAGGACAGAAAAAAAAATTGAAAGAGTACAACCACTCTAGTCATCCTCTTTGACTCAAACCCTTTAACCCTAAAAAGGGTCATATGAAAATGCTGGGTAGTAACTGAGCTGCAGAGAGACGGACAATGGTATCTACACATCATGATTGTCCAATTAGTTAAAAAAAAACACAGTAAAATAGGAATCCAGAAAGTTAATTTTACAGAAGAAACTAAACACTTTCTTACAAACACTGACATGCCATACTGGTTTTTGCATTTCTGACTTAGTTCTCCATTCACGCAACTTCCCACTTCATTGTCTTTCTATCTCTGTCATTTAATGGTTACCAGAGGAGGAACAAGAACTCTGTCGGATGAGCTCTACTCTGTCAAAATGGAACAGCACTAGTCTGTGAGGGGTGGGGGGTTACCGGGTCATAGCTGGACCTCGTCTTCATCCCTTTTTTTTTCTCTCTCACGGTGGAGATGGTCCAGCTGTGATGACAGTGCAAGTGTTTTTCCCCCGTTAATGACTTTCTTGTCATTTCATCTTGCAACCTCATCAGTTCAAACAGTCACTTTAGTTTATGATCAAATACTTTCAAATTTTTGCATGTTAACATGCTAAACCAACACAGTGAAAATGGTAAACATCATACCTGCTAAACATCACATCTTAAGAGCCACTAGCATGGCTATAGACTCTTAGTTTCGTTATTTAAGGACTGCACTGCTGATGAAAGCTCTGATAAGTCAGACAAATTTGTTACATGACTTTTATACCTCCTGTTATCATGCTATAGAGGAAACACATGTCATCCCTTGGTTTGGCATATGCCCATTTAAAAAAAAATATGTGAGAGCATCAAAAGAAGGTGCAGGTGATCTATTGATACATGTATGGATATGCTGATTTCACTAAATGATACCAATATTATGTTAAATGCAACTTGCACACAGCAGCTTTACAACCTTAAAAAAACATTTTTTTCCATTTTCCATTCCTCATTTGGGCTGCTGACCCAGAACAACCTTGGCATATGTGACATCGGCATACGTGGTGTCTGTGTGTTGGTTATTGGATGAGGGTGTCGCCTCTCTGAATGGTTTGAACTTGACGTCAGAGTAGACCACATCCTATGAGTAGGAGAGAGAGAAAATGTTATCATGGAGACCCAATTGCTCATTCGTATCATCATCATGTTGCACAACAATCATCTCTTCTTCTTATCACAACCACAGAGTAAACGAACTTTATCTGACTTAAACATATTCAACTTAAATTCAGAGACGTAGCTTCCAACCAGCTCTGAGCTCACCTGGTCTCTCACAATAACAGATGGCCTGGCCACCTCTGTCGCCGTTCCACCTGTATCTGAGACAGACAGACAGGCTTTATTCAAGGAAACTGAAAACAACAACAAATTATATAAAATATAACATAAAAGATAAATTAACCATTAGAAACAGACTTGTAAGTCACTTAGGATACAAGCTTCTGCCAAATGATTAAATGTAGATGTAAGAATTTGTAATTTTGTTCTCACCAATGAAGACACGGTGTCTGACTGAAGAATCATGCCTGAGTAAAAGAATCAAAAGTGCTGCAATTAGTTTTTTCTTGCATGGAATTACCTTTCAAATCTGAGAAACTAGGGCTGCAACTAATGATTATTCTAATTATTGATTAATCTGCTGATTTTTTTTTTTTCAATCAATTGATTTATTGTTTAGGCTATGAAATATTCAAAAGAAAAAGAAAATACATTTTCTTATGTCATGTTTTGTCCAATCACAAGTCCATATCAAAAAATATTCAGTTTACAATGGTGTAAAACAAAGACAAGCAGCAAAGTTTCTATTGTAATTTGAGAAGCCGCAACCAGAGAATAATTTGGCATTTTTCTATCGACAAATACTAAAATAAGATACAAAAAAGATAATCATCCTCATAGTCCAGTGATACTGTCAAATATAACCATCAACATGAAATAATTATTTGTTAAAAATATTTGTTAAAGGATGATTAATGCTGATATATTACTAACATCTTACGACATAAGAGTCTCAATTATGGGAAGAGGTTTCTTTTCTACAGCTTGTACTGTGTACTCCTACACAAAATACACATCAGAGACACACCTTCTGATGAAAATCAAGTATGTGATGGTTGCCAAAATCCCAACAAGCAGTATGACAGCAATCACTATAGCAGAAACCACCCCTGGTGATAATGGCATCTGTTCTGGGAAAAGAAACATGGCTGTGTCTATCATGTGAAATTTCATGGCGTTTATATGACCCCAGTTATTTGCAACCAGTAACAGACATATAGTGTATTCATTGGTACAATAAAGGATAGATTTATCATAGCAGCATAATTGGTACAGTTGAGAATCATACAATAATGCAGCACAAGAATGGTTTAGGTGCATCTATAATGGTCCTACTTATTTACCAAGAGCATAACATCAATGTTATTCTCCACTGATCAGTAATGGAGAATGGGATTAAACTAAATCTAACTGAATATAAAAAAACTCTTCAATTTGTTAATCACACAGTGCTTCACATATTTCTCATGATAAAAACAAGGGATTTCTAATCATGCAGAGTTTTAGATGTTGATCTCAGTTTGGATTAAATTGGATTAAACCTGAGTTTTTGGTTCTGGTTGGCCTAGGCCTCATGTATAAATTTATATTATTTGCAGCTACATTTTGTGTAAAAATGCTTCACATACTCACCTCGAACAACAAGGTTGGTTTTTCCTTCAAATGAACCAAGAGGGAAGGTTGCAATGGTGCACACGTATGACCCTGCATCTCTCATTTCAACGTTTTTAATTAGCAGCAATTGTTCAGTAATCTCCAGTCTCTCCTTCAGAGAAGATTCAGGAATGTTCACCCCAAACTGGCTACTAAAAACAATAATAGTGATAAGTTTTCCTTCTGGTTGCAGGAGTTCCCACTGAACCTGTGTAATATTGGCATTTTCTTTTCCTTTGATGAATTGGCATGGCAGGGTGACATCATGCCCAAGGTATCCAGTCACTTCAGGCCAGACATTGACTCGTTGTGCCTCCAGAACTGAAAACCATAAGTTGATATGATGTGCAGTCTTGTTGAACTCTGGTTGCACTGTTTGTATTCTTAGTCTCTAAACTGTGTTGGTAAATTGTGTTAAAGCTGAATTTTCACAACTGAGGTTAAAAAAACAGTGATCCTAAATGATTTAAAATCAATCTTAGCCAGCTATGATTATTCTACACAAATAGCCTATATATAAATCTGCACTGTAATCAGGCATTCAAAAAAATGGCAAATGTTTAAAACACTTAATCTTACCTGGGAGTAATGTGATGTAAATCAACTTCAGTGGCAGAAAAGGGGATTTGCTGCAAGTTTTCATTGTTCACAACTACACGTGGTGGAGAAAATAAGAAAAGTACCTTACAATACAATACAATAGTCCTCAATTTAGGAGGTTGCTCTGGTACATTACTGTTAGAAAGTGAGTGAGACTAATTTAAAATAGCAACTAGCCTCAAGTGCCAGCTTTAGAAACTATCACCATTTTTGTTTATCAGCTTTCTCATCAACATGCAGGAAACTTGCAGAGATACAGAGTTGACAGTTTCTGGTTCAGCTGTCGAAAACGGAGAAAATGTTTCAAGATTTATGACGATGTGAGGCAAACCCAGTGAAAAAAAAATGCATTTGTAAACAGGAACATAGTCTGAACTGGTCATCAGCAACTCGTGATATATGCTGCAACAACGCTGCAAAAACAGGAATAACTGAGACACTACAGATAAAAACAGTGCTGTGAAGTGCCATCGTCTACGTACCTGAACATCAGAACCCATCAACATCTCATAGAAGTGTGTAGCTACACATCTGTGTAACCAAATACATTAATTAAACTGTCCACTTAAGCAGGAAAGAGGCAGGTGCACGACTGCGACAGGAGACAGTTATTTTCCATCTTTCAGCGCTGTAACCAGGAATAAAACTATGTCAAAACTATTACAGGCCGATCGCTTCTCTCTTGAGTGTTCAAACCTGATTTCCAATTCAACGTTCAGCAGCCGGCATGATTTCAGATGGTCGGTGTAGCACGCAGCATCCACCAGTGAAACACTGACCTCAAGTGGTCAACGTATGGTAATGTCTTCTACATAAAAACGTGATGATGAAACTTGTGACTTCCCTGAGTATTTTGGATTAAATTCTCGGTTTAATATCATAGAAGTAATACCGCGACGGGATGTGGTGCATAACAAGTAAAAGTACTGCATCTAAAAGTGTAAATAATATATCTAAATGATGTAAATTGTATAGAAGTATGACATGTGTTGTTACTTTCCCCTCTTGCACCATCCAACAAAGACACAAAGAGTACATTTTGTTTTATTTCAGCTCCATATTTGTGTGTGATCGCAAATTACAAACAAACAAACGTGATTTACTCCATTCCTGTAGTGCACAGATTTCCTTGAGATGAAATTAGAAATGCTGCAAATTAGTCCAAACGAGCCTCACGAAGTGTTTAATCTGATAATCTGCTTCTACGTGTAATGCTTGAGATATGCGGTTTTACATGCTGTAAATGTAGCACATGCACAGTTCTGAAAATTATGCTCCACTATTCACAAGAATGCAGTTATATGTTAGATGTGTGATAACACCCATGATTTTGTTCCCCTTTATAAAAAGAAAGGTGGAAGTGGCAGAGGTGATGTTAAATTACAAGTGGATACTCACTGCTGGAGATAGCACCTCTTCAGGAGTTTAAATTAAGATAGGTGTGGGATATAAAAGTATAGAAGCTTTCAGCTAGCTACATATTTGTAGTACAGTATTCCATGTCATGTTGTGATATCAAACTCACTTAATGTAAATCATGATGAGATGGAGGTGAAACACCCAATGCTGCAATGAACATGACAGCAACAGCCTCTCTGGCAGCAGCCCCTCACTCAGTGGAAGAGGAGGATTAAAATATTCCATACTTGTACATACAGTAGTGTTACATAATCCACCTCTAATTGGATAAAATACTCTCATTTTATTTGTCCCAGTGACTTTTTTTTTAGTTCTTTTAAAAATAATCCTAATTTATTACAAGATTTCAACTGACAATGAATAAGAAGTGTGGGCCTTCATTGTTTCATCGTTACATGATGCTGTTTGGCTTCATTCATCTATATTAAATTTTAATGTGGACATTAATATATTACCCTCAGCTCCAGGGTTATTGATTTTTACTTTCCATTGTGACTGATAAGATAAGATTGAACAGTTACCTTTTATTATGATAATGAGTTTGACTGCAGCATGTTCATTCCTCAGATAATTGAAGGCCAAGACGGCTGTAGTTCCCTGTGTCATTGTAGTTTGCCCTTGTCTATAGTATCCAGCTTCATGTAGAGCTACATTCACATTCAGGCTATAAAGAGCCAGTAGTAGACAGCAGCTGAATCAGAAAAGTTCATAATGGTTCAAAAGTTATTGAATGATGACTTTATACTTAATGGATAGAATGAATTTGACACAGGTGTGCAGTTATATGTCAGGTGTGTAATAATGCCAAGATTTCGTTCACCTTAATGAAAAAGAAGCTTTAAGTATGAAGCTGTTGTAACACTTTTACAGATTTTTACCATCATGTGTAGTCTGTCAGTCAAAAGTACAGCTCACCTCAGCTGACAGTGTTAGTTAAGATTCTGGATGATACCAGTGTTTAAGAAACAAAAGAGCATACAGCAGAACAGTGCATTAATTTAAGGCCCCGCACCAGTGACCACATGTCAAACCTCCTGAGGGAAACTGCATCTCAGAAAAGTGATGTATAATTATCTCCACCAATCAGAGTCACTGGCTAAATTAGTCCCAGGTGTTCAACAGGCTAATCGGGTCAGGGATGCAAAGCTTTGCCTGTTTCAGTTGGTTGATCTCAGCTTGTTGCCTGCATCTAAATTACTGGTTTAGGGGGCAAGACAGGAAAATACATGTGAAATATTTTCATTATCAGAAATGCAGCAAATACAGTTCTTTGTCTTCATCAAGTAATTCTTCAAGAACACTGAAAAAAGGGTTTACATTTATGTAACAGAAATCTGTTATTATGCTGATTGTAAAAGTTTCACTTTCAGTCATATTTATTTAGCTCAAGGAAACATTCAGATCAGATTTTGTCAGTAAATGTTCTTACAACATTTAATTTAAATTAACTTTATTCTGTAAACAAGAATGCTATTTGGTGCAAAGTAGACTAAAATTTGTTGCATCTTGTAGATGCACACAGTCATTTCTTCAGCAAGATAATTTCTTGCCATATGTTACTGGGCAGCTTATTGTATTTATCTATCTAAACATCATTTTGTACTACACAAAATGCATATAAGCCTTTATACAGTTCTATGTGCTAGAAAAAATTATAAATGGTATTGCACCACCATTCCTGTATATCATCATGTGTGTATTATACACAAACTCTTATGCTTGCCACTGACACACTTATAGCACACAACTTCAAGAATTTCTTAGTTAATCTTATTGTGGAAAACAGAAAGCAGGAGAGGTGTGGTCTATGGAAACTCAGTGCTGATACTCAGAGGTTGTGAGACAGGGTTAGGCTCCTAATGTTTGCAACTGTGCAACTGTGTGAAGCAGCACTGTTGAACTATTAGTCACCCAGATGGGAAAGTTTTAGTGTTTACACAACAGCTTCCTGGAAAAAAAGTCATATAGTGTGACCTAATATATTTTACTGCCTTGTCATCGACAAAGACTGCCAGACATATGCAAACAAGGCTAGGTCAAAACCTAGTACATGCCATCGCACTGTAGGCTATTTGCATTCTGCCTAGTGTCAGCTGCTTTCAGCCCTTTATCTGTTTGCTCCTACTCTCTGTGCTCATGTATACAGTATTTGAGTACAGCCGAATTTCCAATAAAGCTGTTCTCATTTACATGTTTTTATGATTCTGCTGTCAGACAACAGAACAAATATGAAGTACTGGCTTAAACACAGCCCATTAAGACTACAAAGTCCAACTCAGTCATGTGGCACTCGGCTAACCAGTGATGAAATTATGGTCAGTCAGTCAGTCAGTCAGTCAGTCAGTCAGTCAGTCAGTCAGTCAGTCAGTCAGTCAGTCAGTCAGTCAGTCAGTCAGTAAGCAACTTTCGCTATTATAGGACTGGCCCCACTGTTGCAATCCTTCCAAAAACCAACACGATGATCCACAAGGTCTTCAGGTTTATCATTGAGCAGGAATGCAGACAACATAAATGAGTTTTCCTGATAAATGATGATCTCTCTTCAAATGGCGTCATCACTATCATTGCTGTATATATATTTGTTGAACCAGTTGTGGACACACAAAAGTTTTTATTTGCAATCTTACATCCACATATTTGGAATATAATACACAAAGAATGTGAGATATAAATCCAGCTGGTGCTGATAACAACAACAAAGCATTAAACATGTTTATGATGACAATATATCCTTATATTAGGTTTATTTCCATGTAGATTTCCACAAATGTATTTAATTGACAAGTTAGATAATTGTTTTTCTGATATAAGACTCTCAGCTTTGTCCCAGGGATGACAATCTGCTTGATCAAAGTCTCTTGGTTCACAATAATATTTCATGTGTAATACATTCTAGTTGGTTTAAATCAGGGTCCTTGATTATAAGCAAACCACACCAGAGAGGGAAGAATCTGAGAAAAAAATATAAACCAATGTTAATTAATGTGACAACAACAAAGAAGAAATATGTATTAGATAATTCAGATATGAACAGTAATATAGACAGTATATATCGAAATGATTACTTTTGCACTGGTGGTATCCCATCTGCCACTTCCTCTTACATTAACCCTCTCAGAGTTAGTGCACTGACCACCAGCGCTGAAAACGACCAGCAGGGAGCAGTGCAGGATGCTTCACAGAGTAAAGAGGACAACCATTACCATGACTTGAAAGGTCACTTGGCTTTAAGATGCATGCATGACTGACAAAATTACCATGACATTTAAGAAAAATAAATTCATGCATCAGTTTCTTACCTCTTAGATTTAAAACTGTGGAGTTTTCAAGCATGGTCACCATATTTCTGGCAGTACAGGTGTAATTCCCTGTGTTTTCTGCCTCCAATCGCTCTATAATATACATGGAGTTATTAGCATGAGTGTCGTTGCCGTTGAACATCCAGCTGAAGTTTGCTGGTGGGACAGAGTCTGCTGTGCACTGCAGTGTCACCCTCTGGCCAGGTGGAGCTGTTGACGGTCCAATAATTGATATGTTATATGGTCCAACTGCACAGAGAAAAGAAATGTTCAGTATTAGGGTTCAGAGTTCAGACCTGTATCTAAATGTCTTTAAAAGCAGCAAATACTGTACATACAATTTTTCTTTTAAAGAGTTCTGTGTTTTTTGTTTTTTGTTTTTTAGCTGGGCCTGCACTGAACAGTACTCACAGTTGACAGTTAGATTATGGGCCACAGTCATGGTGCTGACTGGGTTGCTGATTCGACACTGGTAGGTGCCGTGGTTGGAGAAGTGAACAGGTTGTATGGACACTGTCCTGTTGTCTGAGGAGAAGTTGAGTCGGCTGCTGGGATGGAGAGGCTGGCCGTCCTTTATCCAGATTCTGGTGCTGATGGAGCCGGAGGCCTCACAGGTGAGGTTGGCATTGCTTTCATCCTCTATCAGGATGTCTGTGGGGCTGCGGATGGTGGCTCCTGTTATCAGTGCTGGCAGAAAACAAACAGCATCCATCCAATGAAAATTGATGTAAAAATGTTGCAAATTTATTTTGGTTCTAATCAATTTAGATTTTTAAATTGGCTGCAAAGAAAACATTCCCATGTCACATTATATAGATTTTGCTGTGATGGTAACTTCAAGTGATAATCAGTTGTCATAGCTAAAAAAAACAGTACCATCTTCAAATTTATTCCATCTGTTACGATTACAGATGTGATTATAAAAACTAGCATTATGTTGATATCTATGTTTATATGTCTGACATCTGTAGAAGAAATTTAGACATTTTGTTTTATATTCATGAAATTGTTTTAATATTTAATAATAATAATATTTAACAACTTAATTTTTTCTGCCAAGAACTTATATGATCTATAATGTGCTTTGAATTGTTACACTTTTTCAATGATTTTTTTGACAATTATTGTAGCATCACTGCCACATAGCACCCACCATACACATTCAGAGTGGTCTTCCCCTGTTTCTGCTGCCCTCTGTCTGGTGTGATGGTGACAGTGTACTCCCCGCTGTCTTCCAGCACCAGGTTTCTGAGCTCCAGGGCTCCTGTGGCTCGGTCTAATGAGATCCTGTTGTCATATCCAGGCTCAGTGATGTTGATGCTGGTGGAAGTGATGATGTTCCCCCCTTTAAAGTTCCAGCTGACAGAGAGATATGGATTCTCAGGAGGTAGGAGGGTGGTGGTGAACTTCACTTTGCCTGCCACAGCTCCACTCAGGGGTCCTGGGGGTAAGATACCCTCACTCACACACATATCCAAGTAACCTAAAGAAGATATAAAGAGGAGCATTGTAATACTGGAGAAAGTGCTTTGAGCCCAGTATGGCATTAATGTTTAGCAAAATGATGAACAGGATTTAGTATGTGACATATATGATGTGCTGTAGCTCATTAAATCAGCTTTTAAACTGCCAAACACGCATTTTTCTATAGAAACATTATCTGAATTTAACCCTACCTGTCAAAACAAACATCACCGCAGCCCCGAGCATCCTCTTGTCCATAGTGAACAATGACTTATGTAATGTTGTCTCAGAGTCCTCTCTGAAATCAAAAACAGAGTCACAGGTACTCCTGCTCTTTTATTGTTGCACACCCACAGTGCAGGGCTGACTCCCCCCATTCAGTAATGAAAAGCACAAACAGTGTTTTTACGATGCCACTGTGTACATACACAAAAATGCCTGTAGGCATGTATGTTCAGTCAGGAGTTACTGTACCTAGAGTCAGATTGATGGACTTTGTTAGGCTCTTTGTAGACATGTCCTTTGATCAGACAAATGGTGGCCACCTGTATTTAAAGAAAAATCAATCATCTTATACATTTCTGACAGAAATAATAAAATGAAATCAAAAGAAGAGTAATGACCAGCCATCTAACAGCTTGACATATGTCAGCAGAAAGCCAATGAAATAAAAAAAAAAATTGAAATACTTTTGTTGAAGATCCTATCATATATCCTATCGTGCTAGAGGCCTCATCAATAATATACTTCAACTTAATTTTCAGATAATTTCTCATTTCCAAATCAAATCCAGAAATTGCCAGATAGAAGTAATCTACACAATTGATAATAAGAAAAATGATCACGATCTAACACACAAATCAATGCGTAATTTGTTGCATTCATAAAGTAATGTAATGACTTAATTTGTAATTCACAATCAAATTATGAATGTGACTCAAACACTCACAGAACATGAAATGTACACTGTTGCCCATAAAGTTGGAATAATTTTGTTTTCAGACACAATCCTCTGTTTATTCCTATTTAAATGCATCAGTAATCACTTTTGACCAGGTGCAATGATTACATTATGTGTCCTAATTATCCAGGTGAAATGAAATAAATCACATAGTCACAATTATTTCATGGAAAGAGGTAAAAAAATATTTTATTCCAACTTTATGAGCAACAGTGTATTTAGCCAGCTTTGTACTGTTTTGGTTTTTCAGAGGCTGAGCACAGATCTGAGAAGCTTTTTTCCACTCTCCATTTCATAATATTAACCTAGAAGAGCTAAAAACAATACAATATCACTGATTCAATTTTAAGGAGTGCTTCCTCCCTTCTCTGTATTCTTATAGAAGCATTTTATCAGTGTTTGCTGGGGATTCCTTGAACCAGTTATGCATTAATTAAGCAACAGATGTTTAACCCTCAAATACCTTCGGGGTGCAAGATGAGGACATAGGTCTCAGCACAATAGTAAAATAAGATTTAAATTATCTGAAGAAGGTTAAATTTGTAGATCATCAACATTCCAAGCAACCAAGTGTATCTCAGTAGACTTGTGAATATAAATGCATATTATGTTATGCATAAAAATATTGTAGCAGAGGTCTGAGTCATGGTGGTGGTGGAGTGCTGTGCATCAGTTTTATGAGCTCTTCAGTAAGTGCTCTCTTGTGTTTGAGAAGCAGCAGCGAGCTGTAGCATTCCTTGAGAAGGAGGATCAAAGATGTCCAGGAGACACTTAGCCTCCTTGACACACCTTCACAATCAGCTTGCTGGCTTCACTGGCTGAATTTTAAATTGAAAAGAGATGGAGATATTTCATATACTATATGTATGTGTTTATTAATGCTTTTTAATTTATGCATCTTTTCTTTTTATATAGCTATATCCAGATTGAGACCTTCCTGTTTCAGAATACTGTGGCATAACCATCAAATCAGCTGGAACAATCAGGTATGTCACATATGTCACATGTATCTTTAACTTCTGACATGTGAATGCTCAGTAAGGGTGGTGAAACATCAGTCAGGGATGTGTCACCAACATATATGTGTGTCATAAAATGTGTCAACTCAGTAACAATGTGTTTTTGTCAGTGCATTCAAAGTGTACATATAAGGTTAGTCGGCCCTTGATGTTACACTATACTGGGAGTGATGGAGTCAATGTTGCTAATGAGTGATTGATAAGAGATCATGGCCTTCCAGGTCCTTCAACTACAGAAGTGGCAATGTGTCTACTTGTGATCCTAAATTATAAACATTGTTCCTGTTTTGGTCTTTTTTTATGTAAATAAGAATTTGGGTAATGGACCTATGTAAAAGACTAATTTATTAGAAAAAAGCAGTGATAGCAGAAAATTTTGTGAAGCAGAAAATGCTTAATTTTTCCTTTTTTTCTTAATTCCTGTTATATTAAATCAATTCATAACACCTCAGATTCAAAAGATTGAATTTCTACCAGATTCAGAGGTGTTGTTCTATAACTGACCTCTGTCAAAAATAAAAAAATTCCAACACCTTGTCTTTACATGTAGTCAAAACAAAATCAAGCATGTCCCACTATTTTCTTTTTAACAAATCTGGATTTTGAAATTCAAGTTCAATAAAGAAACTGATATGAAATGTATTCCCCGGACATGGAGTCCTGCTACATTTCTGCAGATTTTTATTCCTGAGCTTTATGAGCTCTTTATTCTTTGGTTATTTTCCAAGTCAATAAATATGTCACAGTAAATCCAAGGGCGTAGATTTGGTCTCAACATTGATAAGAACGCAACAACCTTGCCACTGCTCCAAAATGAGAGATTGGCTTTTTAATGCCTTCTACCAAATGGTTTATTAACATATAACATAAGAATTTACAGTAAGGAATGCACATATGCAAATGTTATAGATGGGCATATGTTGAATTTCCATAGCCTATATGAAATATATGTACATATGAAGTAAAATAATAAATGTATTTAAAGTCTAGCCGCTATATAAAAATTACATATGAAACCTGTTAGAAATTCGAACAATATCATATATTGACATATATGTCTGGCAGATAGAAATATGTATATTTGTATGTCTGTTTGTATTATGTTAAGTAAATATGTGTCCATCCAAAAGACTGTCTGTATATGTTAATTTTATATATGTAAATATAAAAAATAGACAAGTATGTTAAAATTAAAAAAAGTTATTAAGACAATCATATACAAACATATAGATAATTTTAATGAGCATGTTGTTTTGATAAAGTTGCATTTTACTATGGATATTCTACGTATGTTATGAACTTATATCTTCATATATCCATAAGATGAATAAATGTCATAATAATATATCCTATTATGGGCGACACATATGGTAACATAACTCTTGACATAGGGAAATACATGTCATATAAATGTCATAAGTCATAATATAGTGAGGCATAAATTATCATAAAAATATCATAGTATAGTAAGGCATAAAATGTGATAAAAATGTCATAGCATAGTAAGGCATGAAATGTCATAAAAACGTTTTTATCACATTTTATTCCTTACTATACTATGATATTTTTATGATAATTTATGCCTTACTATACTATGACGTTTTTATGCCTTACTATACAATGACGTTTTTATGACATTTTATGCCTTACTATACTATGATGTTTTTTTACGTTTTTATGACTTACTATACTATGAAGTTTTTTTGACCTTTTCATGCCTTAATATAGTATGATGTTTTTATGACATTGTATGCGTTAATATAATATGAAGTGTTTTGACCTTTTCAATATAGTACGATGGCTTATGACATTTTATGCCTTACTATACTATGAAGTTTTTTTTACCTTTTCATGCCTTACTATACTATGATGTTTTTTTACGTTTTTATGACTTACTATACTATGAAGTTTTTTGACATTTTGTACCTTAATATATTATGACATTTTTTTTTACATTTTATGACTTACTAAACTGTGACTTTTTCATGCCTTATTATACTATGATGTTTTTTTTTTACATTCTTATGCCTTACTTTACTATGACGTTTTTATGATATTTTATGCCTTACGATCATATCACCTTTTTATGACATTTTATGCCTTATTATCCTATGACATTTCTATGCCTTCCTATACTATGACGTTTTTATGACATTTTATACCTTACTATAGTATGACGTTTTTTGACGTTTTTATGCCTTATTATGCTATGATATTTTTATGACATTTTATGCCTTACTATACTATGACGTTTTTGACGTTTTTATGCCTTATTATACTATGATATTTTTATGACATTTTATGCTTTACTATACTATGATGCTCTTTGAGGTTTTCATACCTTACTATACTATGACATTTTTTGATGTTTTCATGCCTTATATACTATGAAGTTTTTTGATGTTTTCATGCTTTACTATACAATGAAGTTTTTATGACATTTTATGCCTTACTACACTATGACGTTTTTATGCCTTACTATACTATGACGTTTTTATCACATTTTATGCCTTATTATATAATGAAGTTTTTTGACCTTTTTATACCTTAATATAGTACGATGGTTTATGACATTTTATGCCTTACTATACTATGACATTTTTATGCCTTTTTATACTATGATGTTTTTATGACATTTCATGTCTTACTTTACTATGACGTCTTTATGACATTTCATGCCGTACTACACTATGACGTTTTTATGACATTTTATGCCTCACGATACTGTGACATGTTTATGACATTTCATGCCTTATTATGCTATGACATTGTTATGACATTTTATGACTTACTATACTGTGATTTTTTCATAACATTTTATGCCTTACTATGATATGATGTTTTTATGCCTTACTATACTATGACGTTTTTATGACATTTTTATGAATTACTATACTATGATTTTTTTATGCCTTACTATACTATGACGTTTTCATAACATTTTATGCATTACTATACTATGACGTTTTTATGACATTTTATGAATTAGCCACAAATATATGTACATATGAAGTAAAATCATAAATAT